AAACCCATCTAAAAAAAATTGCTGCTAACAGTTTTCCAGCAAACGCCATTTTTACCCAGAAACCCAGGTTTTAAAATTCGTAAAAAATAGCAAAGTGCCGAAAATTACCAATTTGTGGGTAAACCAAAGTAATCCAACCTAGCTTACTCTAACCTAACCTAACCTAACCCATGCTTAGATCAGCAAAGTGCCGAAAATTACCGATTTTGGGTAAACGCAGCTTAGGTTAGGTTAAGCTGAGGAGCTCAGCTAAAGGTTATATTAGGGAGTCCTTGGAGGCTAGTGGCCATCTTGGATAATTTCAAACAGCTGCTGAAGAGAGATTTATCGTCCAAAAATATTTTTTTCAAACACCAAAGTGATAATAATTTAACATCGAGTATACTGTGAGATTAGAAATGTTCTTTGTAGTTTTTTATTGTTCTCCAAGGGAGTCAATGAAAGCTAACAGCCATCTTGGATTTGTCCCCCATAAGAGCAGTGTTAATTACGTTAATTTCAAACAGCAGCTGGAGAGTTATTTACAGTCCAAAAATATTTCTTCAAACACCAGAGTGATTGTAATTTAAATATCTAGTTTATTGTGAGATTATAAAAGTATATTGTGTCTTTGTAGTTCTTTCATTGTTTTATGAGTTAGAACGTCTAGGCTCCAAGGACTCTTTTGCACTCTTTTATTGACACTTACCAGTCAAATGTGGCGATATTAATGATTTATAACGCTTTTCACGATTTTCAAACGTGTTTTTCGTGGTGAAATATGTGTTTGCTGCAAAAAGTGCAAAAGGAAAAGAAGTTTGAAATGATTCGAATAATAAGAAAAATAGGCTACCATTAAAAGGAAAAAAGATTTTTCGAGCGCTTATAATCGCCGATTTCTAAAGCTTTTCTCGATTTTCAAACGTGATTTTCAGGGTGAAATAGTCGTTTCCCCCTAAAGCTCCAAAGGAAAAAGTGCTTAAAATAGCAAAATTTTTGTAGATAAGGTAAAAAATGCTATATAACATAAGTAGTGCAAGTTCAGTATTGCCTCCTGGATTTCACCAATCACGTATTCAGACCCTAATTCCAAAATTTAGTTAACCTTGCGCTGGATTTTGAGATAAATATTGCAAACCCACAACGGACCGTTCCAGTTCTCCCTTATCTTTACCGCATATCTCTCTTATCTCCAAGACTACAGACTGCGCAATGAAGGAGGGTCTCGTGCCTATGCCTAATCTGATGAAGAATGAGCAAGAGCAATCGTACATTTGTTTTTTAATTGTGGTGTAAAACTTTTTAATTTATGTTTATATGTTATTTAATTTCTTGTTATGTGAGTTTGAATTTAGTATGGTAGCCATTTCAGAAGAAAGTATTAAAATAATTTGAGATGTTAAGATTATGAAGAAATGTCATTTCTTTAACAGAAATACTTAGATAACTTCTCAAAATGACTTCTAAATTGTTATTTATTTTGCGAATGCAAACAAGCATCTGTTTCGTAAATATAATTAAATTATTTCGTTTATTACGATTGTGTTGGTGTACATTACTACCGATATGTCGAACTATTGACAAGAATGCCACATTTAGCTACCCCATTCAGTTTTTCATATTTAAAAATCATATCTTACAAACAGAACTTTCCAAATTAAACATCAAAATTATTTAACTGACCTTTACCCTATAGAATCAGGAATCCCCAAAGGAAGCGTGCTTGAACCATACTTGTATATTCCCTATACATCGGACCTACCAGAAATTGTAAACACTATGGTTGCCACATTTGCGGATGATATGACCATTTTATCTGTCCACGACAAACTGGTTCAAACTACAGCAAATTTACAGTTAAACTTGGATGAAATTTCACATTGGTTTAAAACACAGAGGTTCAAAATTTATGAAAATAAATCAGAAAACATTACTTTTACCCTAAATCTGGCTACATGTCCTCCGGACATTGTTCCATGAACAATATTCACCACCCTAAAGTAACAGAAATAAAATACTTGGGCATGCACTTAGATGCAAAGCTTAATTTGAAGGCACATATCTGGACTAAAAGACAATATCAAATTTAAAAATAACGAAGCTTAATTGTCTTCTTGGATCTAAATCAAAACTTAGTACACAAAATAATGTTACTTTACAGAAAAGTTATGAAACCAATTTGGACTTATGGGATCCAACTTTGGGGATCATCAAGTACATCAAAACATTGAAATTTTTCAACGATACCAATCAAAATTGCTACGTAAAATTGTCAACGCAACGCACCTTGGTTTGTTACCAACAGAACACTTCATAATAATCTTAGAATTTGAAAAGTCAAAGAAGAAATTACAAAATCTAGTGAAAAAAGATTATCAAATTGGAAAATCATTCAAAATCGTCTTATACAAAACAACTTTTGCAAAACTTGACAGCTAGCCTGACCATACTACTGGAACGAATTTCACGCGGTTGGTAGGCCTACCAAATGAAAGATATTTTCCTGTAGATGTGATGAATCCCTTTATAAATTAAAATAGGCTCAAAAATAAACACAAGAAACGAATTTAAAATTAAAAAAATAACTTGGGCCGTATGGGTTGCCATGTAGGTAACGAAATAACAACTAAATGTAAACAGAAAATAAAACCAAATAGAAGAAATTCCATTTACATGTCTTATTTATAGCATAGGGTAAATATAGATAAGTTGGAAAAATACATACTTTTGGTCAAGTTTCCGACCACAGGGCGAGCTCTCATCTTGCACTAAATTTATTGGACAATCACAACACCATTTACAGACTGAAGCGACTTACGATATTAAACCTCCCATTCAGATTCGGCTGTGTTATCAAAATTATCTTTGTTAGCTAGTGTTGAGAGTGGTAAATCACTATACTTTTAATGTTGTATTATTGTTAATGTATTTGCTTATTTGTCTACTTTTGAAACAGACTGTAAATTAAATAAAGTTGAAACCCGATTAAGCTACAACCCATTTAATAGTATATTTCGTCCCTAGGGCCAAAAATAAGGTTTTGCCGGCTCGAGATAGTTTTTAAGTTCTCGACTTCGTCTCGATCGAGAGCTGCAAAACCATTTAGGTCCGTGGTACGAACGCTATTTTGCACCACAGTATACCCTATTGCCACTATTCACCTCTATAATAAATGCACACTGATGGTCAACACAACTACAACTTTAAGGTTATGTGAAGAAATAATTCGAGGAATCAGCAAAAATAAAAATAAATAGTTGCTAGGCAACGGTGACAATAAAATAATTCTATTGCAATGCTATGGATACTGATTGTGCATTTAATATGCATTCATGTTTTAAGTAAGTAAGCGGGCAGCTAATTTTGCGGCCCTAGGGACCTGCTCGGTCCCCAAATAACGATGACAGCTGGCATGGCCAGCAAAACGTAACTTTCAGCCACCAATTAACGTATGTAGAACCACTAAAACATTATAGTGTGGTGAAAAAAAATTATACATACTTTCGATACATGCGATTGCATACAATCGAAGCTCATTACTGAGTTTAAATCAGCTGATTTTCACTTCCTAGGGAGAAAAGAGTGAAAAGACCTACTTTAAGCTCTTTAAATACGGCTGTTTTTGCTGCAGTATGACTCAGCGTTTGCAGTATGCCTCAGTGTTTTAATAAATATTTGATAGTTAATTTGTCGATAGTGTAATGCAGGTTTATCTTATATAATTCATTACAATGACCAACCACCAAACCACATACACTTCAGATTCAGTTAAGCCTAAAATTATTCAAAGATCCCGTGGGTGATAACATAGGTACCAAAAAGATATTTTTTAGATTTTAAGATGAAAAATTAACTGATGAAGAAGCGGATGAAGCAACAGTCTGATCTAGAGTTAAGTTCACAAGAACAGTGGGAATGAAGCTAGTAATGCCTCTCACATTGAACAGATCCAAAACTGGGTTCCTAGGCAAGACTAGTAACTTTCCGTAGAACGAAGACGAGTATTGGTGTTACCTTCGAACTTACCATTCCCGGAGCTCACATTGAGCATACACCATACCGGAGCTCACAATGAGCATACACACTTCCGGAGCTCACATTGTGCATACACACTGCCGGAGCTCACATTGAGCATACACACTGCCGGAGCTCACATTGACCATACACACTTCCGGAGCTCAGGTCGACTTACATACCGGAGCTCACATTGCATTACAAAATCCAAGTTGTGAATTTTAATCAAACCTTGAGTTTTAAGTGTCCACAGTTAAGTACAAGACATCTTTTAAAAAAGTGACATATATTTTCTTTAAATAACCTCTCCTTCTACCGGAGCTCACATTACTGTGTAATACCATGGAGCTCACATTGGTTGCCAAACGCGTATGTGTGTGTGTGTGTGTGTGTGTGTGTGCGTAAAGACCATAACTTGAGTAATTTTTTTTAGATTTTGATAAAATTTGGTTTGAAGGTGTAAGGCGAGATAAACTTAAATGAGTTTGCAAACCAGCATGATCGGACCATTGGAACGGGGTTTTATGGGGTAAAAACGGGTTTTTCTCTTTTTTCCCCCATAAAACACCAAATTTATCAATTTTTCTCCAAAACTTTTTAGAGAGCTTAAAAAAGCAAATAAATTAGTATATCAAAGTGTTTTTGTAAGGTTATTGGTTACGGAGAAAATTAAAAGAATTGTTCATTTAAAATTCCAATGTTATTTTATGGAGAATATTGTAAAATTTTGTAATTGGCTTGTTTATGGATATATTTTTATCAAACTTGGCATATGTATTTATTTTATACTAAGCTATTAATATTTTAATAAAAAACACACTTTATTAGTTCCCTGTAGCAGCATACCTAGGTACTCGTTACACATAAATGTTAATTTAATAGATTAATTGGAAAACCAATCCAGGCAAATGGTAATTCACTTAGTCGGCAGGTTTGCTGCAGCGGGGGTATTTTAATGTATAATCTGTTCCGCTCATATCTAAAAGTCCTTCCATTGTTCTACACAGGATGTTAGGATATCAGTACACGGAGGATGGCAAGGTAGAGCCACAGAACAAATTTCTACGCAGAATGTCCGGTGTGATGCGGTTGTACGCTGCCATCTTGGTTACGCCACTCAAGCGCTCCCTAGCATCCAGGTCCATGTCACACCCCTACGGCATGCAGGAAGCATGGCGATGGCTGGCGGCATCACTCAATCTTAGTGAGTTAAACTTGTAAATACTCGTCTCGATTCTACAATTGCAAAACCTTCCATGGAATACTGAAATAATTGCTTCTCAGCACCTTTGTTTTTATGTTCCACCTTCACATCTTAGGGTGCTAGGTCTCACTCTGAACAGTTTTTCACATTACCTCAGGATATGTTTTGAGGGTCACAGCATTGTCACATTGATACAATCCATTGGTGATTGGCAGGACTTAAACCGAAGTCCTGCTTTCTACTACAAGACTAAATCAACCCCCTAGGCCCTTGTGGTTTTTAGGATTGGGATGCAAATAAACATAGATTTAAGTTGAGATTTAAAAAATGTCTATAATTATTAAATTAAACATTGGAAGTCACAGTAAAAATCCTTAAATCAAACCTGCAGATAATTTTTAGTTGTTTTCCTGCCAATCACTAGTCCTACTCATCCAATCTTGTCATCAATACAGAGGTTTTAATTGGAAAATTGGAAGTGGTCAGTATGGTTTTCCCTGGGAAACTAAAAGTACTTTTATTAAGCACTAGAGAACCTGGCACATAGAATCGAGTGCAATCTAGGCACAGTTTATGTGAGGAGAAAAACTTTTTTTGGTCATTTTTTAAAATTTTGCGTTTTCTGGTATTTCGGTTTTGTTGGTAAAGATGGAGATGTTGGAAGGCCTAATTGCTTTTGCAGTTTACTGTCATTTTTTTGTAAAGTCGGTAGGGTAAATGATTCTCTTTGATAAGTTAATTTTTGGTTCAAGGATTTTAAATTTTATTTTCTATACAGTAAAATCTATATTTTGGTTGATTGAAAATGTTGCGTGCACCATGCGTGTGTATCAACATGTACATGGTTCCATGACCAAACAGTGTTTTAGCGAATTTCCCTATAGGGAAGTAGCTATTACCGTAGGTCTCATGGTAAGACCTAGTCCTGGGACCGATTTAATTTTTCATTTTGATGTCCCCAGAGGCCAAAAACACCATAGTAGTGATGGTCAAAACCAGAAATTTTGAATCTCGAAACCAAAACCGAGACTTAAAAAAATCGAATCCCGAATCTCGAAACTTGAACGCGAAACTTTTTAGTTTCTTGGTCAAGGTTGCTAAAAAATAAAAAATACAGGTAATGATAACATTTTCATTATGGTTATGAGATTATGCGATCAAAACTGAAAGAGATTGACTCCTAATCCAGATATAGGTAATAACATAAATGTGACACATAAACAAAATAACATTTTTGTTAAACAACTAACATTAAAATAGCCTAAATGAAACTCTTGACATTGAAATAAACATAAACATTACATTAATCAGAACATTTAGTGATCAATATTTCTTTTTTTAAATAAATATCGATATGAAACCGAATTCTAAGCTGTTCCAGTATTTAAGATGCCTTTTGCAGTTCAGAATACAATTTAATTGTTTCATTAGTGTTAATGGAGATGTGTTTGCTCGATTGCTACTAGCTTGTGTGTAAACAATGTTAATAATAATGACACAAAAATGTCATGATTTTCTAAAATATAAGTGCCAAAACTTCCTATTTCGAAACTTTTGAATCTCAAAACTCGGTGATTGAATCTCGAAACTGAAACTTTTCCAAAGTTTTGATGGTTTTGAGATTTGAGATTTGGTTTTGACACATCACTACACCATAGTACCCTTTTTTTAATTTATTTTTAATGACTGATGTATTTCAACACTAAGGTCATGGTCACAGTCTTTCACAATGTTATTAAATCTAATATGTAAACAAAGAAAATTAATACAATCACATGTTTAAATTTTAACTAAATGTATCTTGACTTGGAAAATTATATAATTAAGGATATCGTTATACCAATGGTTTTAATTATTAATTTTGTCTTACTTCTTGGATCTTATCATAAATTGGGTTTAAATTTTGTGTTTGCATTATGTTAAGGATGTTGCTTTCATTTTTTCTTGTTGCTAGATATATATGTAATTCTTTTTTTACATTCATCCTTTCTCCTTTTTATTCATATTTTAAAATTTTGACACTATCTTCAATTTTTCCATAACTACTATGGTTATGTGATAAAATGTGTTCCGCGTACATTGATTTTTGAGTTGTCATGTTGTTGGATTTTACTGATTGAATGTGTTCTTTGAATCGGCAAGAAATTGATCGCCCTGTTTGTCCGATATAAAATTTAGAACAATAATTTTTAATTGATTTGGTATATTCCTGGTTTTTCATATTTATTCATTGGTTGCCGATTATTGTTGGACATTTGTTGTATTAATCTGAAGGAGTTATTTCTTGTTCTATAACTAATTTTGAATTTTGACTTGTCACATGTTTTTCTTAATGGTTTATCGATCGAGGTACTGAATGGGAGACATATAAAGTCTTTTTTCTGTTTTTCTTCTTCATTCTTGAGTTTTTGTTTTTTGATTTTGTAAATTTTCTTGTTTATTAAATTAAGGTTATAGCCATTGGCTTTTGCTATGTTTTCAATCATTGATTTTTCAGTTTCATAGTCTTGTCTAGTCATTGGAATTTGGAGCATTCTGGGTATCGGTGAATTAAAACTTGCCATTTTGTGTTGCCATGGGGCGTTGGAATTTATTGGTATAACGAGGTCTGTTTGGGTTTCTTTTCTATAAACTTTGAATAAATGTTTTGAATTATTTCTTGTAATTTTCAAGTCTAAAAAGTTGATACTATGTGTTTGTATTTCTATTGTAAATTTTATTTGGTTAGATATTGTGTTTAAGTAAAGATATATATATATATACTAGCTGACCCGGCGAACTTCGTATCGCCTGAGTTATAGGTTTCCCCTAAGACAGACCGATGGAAAGAAAGTACCGTTACGTTTAATTTTCAAGATGATCTCGTTCGCATCGCTCAATCACGTCCTGGTTGAAGTTCGTTCGCTACGCTCACTCACCTTTGGGTTGGAGCTCGTTCGCTACGCTCACTCACCTTTAGGTTGGAGCTCGTTCGCTGCGCTCACTTGCCTTCAGGTTAGCTCGTTCGCTGCGCTCACTTGCCTTCAGGATAGCTCGTTCGCTACGCTCACTCGCCTCCAGGTTGAAGTTCGTTCGCTACGCTCACTCACCTTTTGGTTGCAAATTAGCTGTTGTCATAAATGTAAAAGAAATAATAGTGCTGCACCCTGTTGGTAATCCTTGTAACTTTAATGCTATTGAACATCATAGAACAGAACCAACTTGTTTAATTGAAACAGCTGTTAAGATTCATTAATTCCATTTCTCATAAGGTTAACATGGGAAACTCCAGAGCCACTGGGGCGGAGCCCTTTTAAGAATTTCGAAACGGGAAATAGTTTACGTCCGATTCGCATACCTACAGAATTTACACACCAAATTTCATAACGATCGGTGAAGTCGTTCCGGAGAAGTTTGTAGACAAACACTGTGACACGAGAATTTTATATATTAGATATATATATACCGGGTGTCCCACGAAGGGGTTTAAACGTTTGATTTTATATTACGTGCCCATTCATGCACCAAACCTTTTTAAACTTTACACAGTTTACAAAGTAGGTTCTAAAAATATTCTGGAAAAATTTCAACTCCCTAACCTTAGTAGAAACAAAATGGCGGCTTATTGACAAATTTACCAATGTGCTTTCTATAAAAACTACTTTCATGATTTATTATTAGTTATTTATTTATTATTATTATTTATTAGTTATTTGATTAATTTTTAGTTTTCCATTTGGCTATGTTCTAATTTTTTCTTTTTTTAAAGTCATATTGCCCTGGAAAGTAACAATAAAAATATTTTATAAAAAAAAAAATACCTTTTTTAATGTTTTAAAGTAACTTTTTCAATATGCCGCCATTTTGTTTCTTCTAAGGTTAGGGAGTTGAAATTTTTCCAGAATATTTTTAAAACCTACCTTGTAAACTGTGTAAAGTTTCAAAAAGTTCGGTGTATGAATGGGCGCGTAATATAAAATCAAACGTTTAAACCCCTTCGTGGGACACCCTATATATGTCCATCCGCACGATAACTTGAGTAATTTTTGTCCGATTTTGATTAAATTTGGTTTGAAGGTGTAGGCAAGATAAACTTGAATGAGTTCGCGAACCAGCATGATCGGACTAAGGGAACGGGGGTTTATGGGGGGTTTTATGTGGTAAAAATAGGGTTTTCCCATTTTTGACCCTAAAAACACAAAATTTCACAATTTCTTTCCAAACCATTTTGTAGAGCTTAAAAAAACTAATAATTTAGTATATTGAAGCGTTATTATGCGCCTAATTGTTACGGATAAAATTTTAAAAAAATTTTATTTTAAAATTCCCATGTTATTCTTATGGAGAATAAGTCAACTGTTGTAGTTTGCTTGTTTATAAACATATTTTGATAAAATTTGGAAAATACATTAATTTCTTACTAAACTAGAGTACCTTTTAACATTTTACATAAAAAAAAACTTTTTTACCCTCCCTGTTGCAGAAAACCTAAGTACTCGTTAAACTAATTCTGTTCAAATAGGGAACAAATGTGATATTTTTAAGGAGACATTTTAGTGTAAATCCAATCAGGCAAATAGAAATTCGCTAAGTCTGCAGGTTTGCTGCGGCGGGGGTATTTTTTTTTCTTTTTAGCGAATTTCCCTATAGGGAAGTAGCTATTACCGTAGGTCTTTTTATCCCCGATATGCTTAAGGAAAGCTATGAATTCTTGTTCAGATGCCAGACCTCTCATTTTCTTTGTTAAGTTGAGTTGCTTGATCTCATGCCATACTGTTTGAGGTATTACTGGTAGGGCCTGCCCGTACCACCTACAGTATACTAGAAAATTACAGAATGGAGTACAAAAGAAATTTCATTCCAATGGATACCAATTTTGCATTTTATTACATAACTAGCTGTGTACCCGTTCTACGTACAGGTTGAATAAAATACAGTACAAGCAATAGAATGAGGCATCTTATTACGTCAAGTATAAATTTAAGCATTTAATTTACAGTATTAATACAAAGAAAGAGTTATAACTAACACAATAGTAAGTACAGTGCATTAAAAAGAAATACTATATGGAAATAATGACAGTTAAACTATTAAACATAACGATAATAATATGACATTTTTATAAAAAATTACAATAAAACTCTTAACGGGTAGTTGCTAGGAATTAATGGAATTATTCAATTATTGGGATGATTACAAATTCCCCATCTGTGAGAATCTCTGCTTCAATGATGTATCACTGGAGACTCTGAATTCGAAGACGCGTCCCATTACACAATTTTGCTGGATGTTAGTTTCTTAGCAGCATCACTGGAGCTCCACCACCTTCATGGTGAGTTCATAAGCAGACAAGCCGGGTGCTAATACTGAGTCGATAAACTCTGCCGGGTAGTTTACAGTATCGTCCCCTCTCAGGACGGTGTTCACTGATTTATACGTACGTTCTTTATATGAGAATATTATACGTTCTTTAATGTGGAAGAGAGCCATGGCCTCAACGTTTATCTGCGTTGCTTGCTCGTTTTTAGGTGTCAGAATTGCACAATCACAAGCCAGGCACTATCCATGTTAAGTAGTTCATGAACTTCTGGGAAGACACTGGTTATCAGGTTTTCTTGTGATCTGACAACACCAAGTGAAGGAGGCAATTATTATCATATTTATATTTTCTAATGTTCTGTCTCCATTCTTCATTAGAATCTCTATGAATTCCTCAGCTCCACGTTGATCAATGCAAACAGCTTTCGTATTTAATGTGAATGAGAGGCGTTCTTTGGTTGGCCACAAAGTGGATCGCTTCAGAGATACATTGATCTCGTCAGCCCTCCTCCACGCACCCGAACAGTAGGGTTAGAGTTTGTCTTAAGTCACCAGAAAACATCACAGTCACCGTTACTTCTCCATGGTGGTTGGACTGTTTCTAATCGTTCAATGTCCCGTCCAATGCTTCAAATAGAAATAAGTTAGAAATAACCAAAACACCATTTACTGTCTTCACTGAGAATAGCAACTTCCTAAGGACGTAACTCTTGGATAAAATGTAAAATTGTATATAGTATAATATTAAAACATGTTATATAAATATCACAGATCAAGATATCCAGAGTTTTGTGTTAGGTGTGAAATATTCCAGGAACAGCTGATATTATTTAATTTACAATAGATCACTTGACTTGTATGGTAAAACTTAAAACAAAATTAGTCTAGTACCGCAAAAAATTGGGGTTTTGAGCGTTTGTTATTTTATTACCAATGGATGTAGACACGTTTTAAGTAGACCTAATTAAAAACCTTCTCATGCATGTGTCGAAATAGATTCATCATAATCTGTTTTCTCATTTTACCAGAGAAGAGAGACTGAAATTAAGATAACATGCATTTTGGCTTTCCTATAGTATGAAACAAAAAAATAACTGAAACATTTATGATTCCACGCAATGTATAGACAAAACTCTAATTTTATTTATATAGATACATAAGGTGTATTATTGAGCTGTGGGAAAAATATGTCTGTCAATATGCAGAGTCTTTTTTTCAAACATTACATTATTGTACGAGGCTTGTCCAGAAAGTAAGTACTGTTTCCTTCTACCTCTGGCACAGCGCTAACAACGATGTTACGCGCATGCACACTAGTCTCCTTCGTTCATTGTTGAACAGCTGATGCAATTACGGCAAAATTGAGTTGTGTTTACATTAGTTAGTGTGCACTCAAAATTTTTGAAAAAATCTCTGTTCCCGCAGACTGTGAAGTACGTTCTTTAATAGGATTTTTGAATGCAAGGAACGTGAAGCCTGCTGAAGTTCATTGCCGACTTACAGAAGTTTATGGAGGAAAAATTATCAGTGATGGAATGTTAAGAAAATGGATTCGGCAATTCAATGATGGGTCAACTAATGTTCATGACGAGGCTCGCAGCGGGCAGCCATCTGTTGTAAGTCAGGAATTGGTTGAAAAAGTGAATGAAAAAATTTGTGAAAACGAAAACAGACGTTTCACCATAAGAATGCTTTCTGATGAATTCCCACAAATTTCAAAATCTCCTTCCCATGATACTGTGGTTAATCGCTTGAATTATCGCAAGATGTATTCCCGCTGGGTTGCGAAAATGCTTACAGCAATGTTTCTCTTCAATGGCATCTTTCTGTGAAGAGGGTACATAAAAAAATTTGGCTCCTCGCTATGACAAATGTCAACAATGGTGGAAACTATGTAGAAAAATAGAAAGATATCCTCTTCTAGAAATAAAATTATCTTTATGGTTTTTTTCCAGAACGGTACTTACTTTTTGGGCAAGCCTCGTATTATTGAGGAAAAGCCATTGTTGATGTCTAGTTTTGGAGGCTGTTGTATAGTTTTTTACACAATGTGCTGGTGCGGTCAACCTAATGTTGAACAATGGGGTTGTTCCACAATCCCATTCTTGCGAGACTGTGGTTGATGGAAATTGTTGTTAATTAAATTTGAAGAATAAGTAGTTGGTGGTCCATGAGATGTCTTTATAACTTAATTAAACGTAGGTAAACTGAGAATGAAGATAATTTAAAGGTAAATGAATAAATGATGTAAGTTACAGTATTTGTAATAGTAGCTTAACTAGCGTGCCGAATTCTAACGTGACATTTTTGTTCTAACATGTTAGTTTCATTTGAACATAACAGAAAAAAAATATTCTAAATGTAGGTTAGTACTGTAAAAAAAACAATTTTTTTATACCCTATAAAATCACATCACATAGCCTCTAGAGCATAAAATTAAGACTTTGACTTTTTTGTCTCGCAAACCCTTAAGTAATCTAATCTTTGAAACTGTATATTCCAATTCAAAACCATCTATACAGTATTCAAAGTGTTAATTTGCAAGTTGTTATCAAGATTATAACTACATTTAATATTTTAGCAAGGGTACAGTTTGCAAGACTAAAGTATTTAAAGGTTTGGAGTTTGGAATAAAAATTACATGTTTTTGCTTGTTATGGAATCCTTGCATATTATTCATTTAGCCCAGTTATTGTCTCTGTTAAAGGGTTTATTCATTATGCACAAATTCTATTTGGGACAAAAGTCCAATCTTCAATGTGTGTGGGTATAACTTTAATCAAAATTATCTTTTCTTAAGTCATAGCTGCTATTCACTAGATAACCACGACAGGAGAATCCATTTAACAAACAGGACATAGCTCCTAAAGTCTTAAGACTTAAATTTTTCAAAGTATAGTTTTATTTTGTTTTCTGTGTTCAGAACCCCGTCCTGACATCAGTGCTACACTCATCTTGGATTTCCTAGAAGTCACCGGATTTCTGTTCTTTCGTATCTACGGTCTTCAGTTCACCAAATTGCTTCACGTCTTGTGTGCTGATTACTTCCCACTCATTGAAAAGGTAAGATTAAAATTGAATTTTATTTGTTTAATTTTATTAATTTCGCTTATTTACCCACAGTAATCTTTTGTCTTGTTCGCAATAACTTTATATCAGATTTTTACTTGTTTTACCCAAATGTTTTTAAACTCCCAATGAAATTGGTTGGAAAGATTCAGTTTTGCCATTCTGCTAATATTTTCATTTTAAGCCTATTTTCTACCAAGAAAAGCACAGTATGAACAATGAATACAAACCTCTATTAAGAAGCGCTATGCCTTTGTTAAAGATTCAGTCTGGGAATATTTGAATTCTGACTCCTCGCTTGGTCCAAAACGTCCCGCCGACACAATAGGCTTCCGCCAGAGGTGCCCAACCCCCCCAAACCCAGAGGCGCAATCCCCCCCCCCCACCAATTTATCTGACAATTTTCCCTTTACATCATAAAACGAGCATTTCAAGTATTTAGTAAACTTGAGGTAAAGAAAAACAAATTTGCTGATAATCAAAATTAAATGATTATTAGGAAACGTCATTTAACAATACATCATTATATCTAACTAATGGACAAATTAGAAGTTTTTCAATTTAAAATTCAGAATATGTATTGTCAGCCAACATGTGCTCAGTATTGCAATAGACAACGTCTTTAAAACGTTCAACAACATACTCGGTGAATTACTCTACTCCAACACAGTACTGTAACTGTACAAGTACCAACCAAGTACAAATATATTAGGTAGCGTCAATTTTTACTGGGCTTAAGAATTCAAACCGCTTTAATTGAATTAATAATACTTTGGCAAAAAGTATGCTGTTTCAAAATTATAGGCAGAATCATGAAAAAGGACAGACTTGTTGCTCGCCACTCCCAGGCTGCCTTCTACAAAAATCGCCGGGCAAAATACCTACAATACCTTAATTAATTGCCCCCAGTACAAAAGGTTTTTGGGACGAAGTAATCTTATAATTCACTTTGATAGCCCCAGGATTGCCTTTTATGACTAATAATAGTAGAAACGCATCTTGTCAGACAATCCTTAATAATATATATGTACCAAATTTTAGTGTCGAATTTTACTTGCTAAATATGTTCTGGTGGTTCTTTAACTCCACTATCGTCAGGCTTACAAAAGGATCCACTTCTGGAGGTGTTGTCAGAATATGTTAAACACGAAACGATAACAGAGATAGGCCTATCAATTCACGCGTGTATGTATATTGGGGAGGATGTCGAAGTTGGACAACGTTAAACGTGGACTACGTTAAAAGCAGACACCGCCTCAATCAGACAACGATAAAAGCAGACAAAGACGAACATGGACACATTCAAATGTGTCCAAGCTTAACGTTGCACGCAAACGACGAACCTGGACACATTCATAAGTTGTCCAGGGGTGGCGTTGCACGACACGACGAATCTGGACACATTCAAATGTGTCCAAGTTTAACGTTGCATGCAAACGACGAACCTGGACAAGTTTTTAAGTTGTCCAGGGTTGTCGTTTGCGTGCAACGTTACCCTTGGACACATTCAAATGTGTCCAAGTTTAACGTTGCATGCAAACGACGAACCTGGACAAGTTTTTAAGTTGTCCAGGGGTGGCGTTGCACGACACGACGAATCTGGACACATTCAAATGTGTCCAAGTTTAACATTGCACGCAAACGACGAACCTGGACACTCTTAGTTTTTGAACAGACTGTACACCAGGCTCATCAAATTCTCAGTCTCGCTCGGTTCGGTTGATAAACTCTGAATGAGCTTCCTAAAACAGAAATGCCGTGAATACGCCTTATTGTTACAAGGCTTCTTTCTAACACATTGTTACTAATACACTGTGTTGTAGTGACTCATAGTCCGCGAAACACATTGCACATTATAAATTCGGAAATTTAATTGCATGTTTATTTGGTCGTTGTAAATGTTTGCTGGATATTAATAAAAAAATAAAACTTATGGGACCTGGATACACCGTGTCCCAAATGGATGGTTCAAATCTACAGCTTTTGTTAAATATACGTGTTGCTAAGTGTCGTAGAAAATTTAATTTAGGCTCATTTTAAAACTGCCATATTTAAGTGATTTTTAGTGCCCTTCAATAGTAATTAGCTGTCCATTGTTTTTGGCACGCTTGAATCTTCAAAACATATATTTGCAATATGGAGCTGCGGCTGAAATTAAAATTTGTTAATGGTTTATAGAAACGCAAGAAACGAAATATGTGGAGTGTTTTTGTCTGGGGGTTTGGCCTTGGTTTTTCAATGACTATTTAACCGCCCGTGCTCCGCCACGGGAATATTGTCAGCAATAAAAGCAATAATAATTAACAAATACTGTTTAGATCGTATTTTATTTAGGGGTTATTTAATTTTTTACATGAAATAGAACTGATAGTTTGCCTGTATAAACTATTTTATGTTAATCAACCCGAAATATTATTTTAACCAAATGAATGTTTTATATTAATTCGACTTTCATTTGAAAAATAAATAGTATACGAACTGGGCAATGCTGATAACCTAATAAGCAGCTATTTATGATATTTAGATAATTTGCTCAAGTATATTCCAATCTTCGTCGTTATTTTTTTCATTACATTTGTTGTATGGAATAAAGATAGTCACTTAGCCTACATGTAAATCACGCATCAGCAGTTGGTCGCATTTCACGAATCTCTGACCCATACTGTGAGTAAAAGCTGTGTTTACGTCGTATATATAAAGTTGGGCATACTTTGTTCAATGTTAGAGGGTATCAACGGTACAATTTGATGGAAAAGGAGTCGTGGATTTTAAAACTATGTAGACTACCAGTCTACCACTACCAGAAAGGTGTTGATTCAAGTGAGACTTAGAACTGGCCATTTCAAATGCAGATTTGTATTATATTTTACTCAAATAGTTTTTTGTCTCTTTTGACCCTTAATACTTTTTTATAGTCGCTGTCGATAAGATTTTCCATAAACTCAAAATGTTGATAAGGAGTTCATTTTACCTTCCCCTTGTGACAACATAAGGAAAAAATATTTGTGTCCCAGTTAGTCTGTTCTGACTCAAAATTCATAGATTTGCAGTACTGACAAATCCAATCTAATGACCCCAATTTAAAAAAATGGTATTTTTTAGAAGGGACTTGCAGAGCACATTTAACACCATCACTGCTCTTTACCTCTTTAGATCGATGGCTCTCTACATGTTTTTTTGTTCTGTATGTCTCTTTACGCCCGGATAATGATTACTTTTTCTTTTTATTTTTGTACTTTTCACATCATGGGGTTAATGATAAAGTTTTTTAACGCCATAATGACCCGAGTCAACATTGCCATTAAACGTCAAGTCAGATACTTCTTCGCCAGAACCGAAATCGTAAGTCACAGTTTCTCAAGCAACTTCCCTGTGTAGGCCTACTCGAACAAATATAGTTAGGGTATAGTTCACTGATAAATTGTAGTTCCAAATATCCCAGCGTACTCGCCATCTCGAGAAGGTAAAGTTTGGTACCACTGAACGTCTAACACTGATCTTGAGTAAGATTCGTCACCTACTATAAAATGTTTGTATGTTTCCCACTCATTAGCAATTATATGTACAACTTGCAAGCGGATTTCCCCATGATTATTCTGGTGGCCGTAGAGAATAAATTATATTGATCAAAACAATAAGTTTCCGTTCCCTACTATGGGTATTATTTCACATTCCATACTCAAACTTAAACTCAATTACCACTTTTCTTCAGATCACTTTGCAGGAAAACTAAAACATTTCAAAAATAAGTTAACAAATACACTTTCCTTGATCAAAATCGAGTGTTTATAAACATAAACTCCAAGTTTAATAATTGCATACTGAAAGTGAGGTTATAAAGATAATAACAAATGTCTGACAAACATTAAACAGCTGACGAATAATTTATAAACTGTGTATTATATTGAGATAACAGTGTTACAACTGTGTATTAAATATATATATTGAACGAATGTATCAGTCGTCAACCTCTAACATGGATAAACTAACAAAATGAAGCAAACCGATGCCTTAGATTTTAACGTTTTCGTGGCAAAACTGCAATAGAGCAGTCAAATTGTTATGGATTATTTAATTATGTGTAAATGGATCCTGTTCGACTAAACCTGTTTCACAATGTGCAGTCTATCGTATCCTACGATCACATATCGTACCTAGAAATAATAATACTGATTCGTTTGAGGATTATTTGAACAAAGCAGCAAAATAGCAGTGATACACAATGACAACATATCAGGCGTGTATTTGAGATCGTTAGTGAATCCACTACAGGTAATACTTTGCAAAATCGTTACGGAACTATAACTACCCCCGCCACAACGAACCTGCAGACTAAAAGCTACTTTACTTTAGTCTGACTGTGTTGTCAATAAAATATCTCCTTAAAAATGAAATATTTATTCCCTATTACTATAACATTAGTTTAACGAGTTTTTATGTATGCTGCTACAGGGAAGGCTGTAAGGTGTTTTTATAGTTCAATGTTGACAGTATAGTATAAATAAATACATTTTCCAAATTTGATAAAATTTTGTTTATAAACAAGCAAACAACAACTTATTCTCCACAAGAGTACTCTCCTAGGGCTCTGCCCTGTCTGCCTTAAACGTTTCTACGTTATTCTTATGAATACGCTTAATATTGGAATTTTCAAATGTATAACGTAATTTATTATATTATATCGTATAAATTTATACGAAGAGTAATTTGAAAATAATCAGGCTGCTGATCTATCGAAATTGTGTTTATTTATTCGTTGGTTCTTTTCATTCAGTATATCTATGGAACATAATAATTATTCTCTCTCGTTGCGAAGCACGGATATAGCACGGACGTAGGGGGTGGTGAAGAAAATAATAAAGGTGAGCAGTGTTGAGTGTGGGAATTGATTAATGTATCTGCAATGCTAAATGCTATGGGAAGAGACTGTAGACTGTAGGTTAAAATGGTTACGAAGCACGAATCGATACATATTTTCGATACATGCAATCGTTTACAATAGAAATTTACAACTGAGTTGACAACAGCTGATTTTTACTCCATAGAGGCTAAAAATGATTCTTACTCCCTAAAGAGTAAAAATGCTACTTAAGACCCGCAACGCATGCATTAAAAACGACTGTTTTTATGTAGTATGGCAAAAACAATATATTATGAACCCTTGATGATTCCGCTCAATTTTGTGGATGCTTCTGCAAACGCCACCTAGTAGTTTAAGCCTACCATTGTCAAATGGCCACCTCAGCATACAAAAGTGTCATCATGAAATGGCTAACAAAATACTAAAAGCTTTTTGGTTATTAGAATTTGTAAGAAAATTGTAGTGGAACATATAAACTTAGTTCCAGATCATAACAGATGTTGCATTTGAGACTAAATCTTTAGGATGCTGTTTGACTTCTGGCCAATTAATCATACATTTAAATAGCTCATAATGTATTTGGAAGAATTAATAAATATTTACCACTAGGCCTTCCATTGTAGCGAGAGAAGTGTCTTGCTTGCCCACTCAACCACAAAAATGAACAACTTAAATAAGTAAAATTAATTATGAGAAATATCAGATTCCAAATATATACTTTCAATCCTAGCCAAAAAACAGTAACTAACTGAGAGAAACTTATCTTACACATTGGACAAAAACAGCGTGGAAGTTCAAGAATAGACTTATCAAAGAATTTATTTCCCTCTCCCAAAACGTAAAAAAAATTTTTGTTTACAAATACCGCAACAATTTCAATCACGTTTTGAAATAAAAGCCAAACCAAGTGACATTAAAAAAAAATTGTCCTTACATAACGGATTTAATTAATCGCAAGTGCAGAATGTGTAACCGCAAATGAAATTGAATAACTTGGCATCATCCAGGTCAGGAACCGGAGATTCTTTGTGTATCAAATAGTTCCTGATTTTTGATAACCGGGAAAAACATTGAATCAGTGTTGTTTAGGGCTGGGAAACTTACATTTTTTTAAATCATTGTCGTCACTAACTTACACAAATTAGGTTTCCACTCATTGGCGGCGCTTACTGATTTTATATGTACTTTGCTATGGTGAAACCGTAGCAAATTCCTTAACTAATTAAATTCTGCATTTTCGTGTGTATGTCTGTTTGTAACGCATTAACGCCTTTATTACTCAGTGTTTCACGAAAAAGTCAAGAGCACTTTTGTTAATGAAAATGTCAAATTGGATAAAGTGTTCAATGGTGAGGACTACACTATCGCCGTGCGTAGAATGGGCACTTAGCTAGTTTTAAATAAACACGATTTACACGTAAAACAAGGTATATATGTTTTATAGGTTAACTAGAGTTCCAGATTAATAGTTTAGTTTACCTTAAACATGATTGTTTTATTTTCGTTAGACATATTTTTAATGAGATGCAGTAAGAAAACTAACCTCTTAACACTTGGATAAATATGCTCCAGACTCAAGAGCATAAAGTAAAGACTATGACATTTTTTTGCAAGTCCTTAAAATCAGCATTATAAAATACATTATACAGCAGAAAATCACATCTTAGAGTCTTCGGAGTGTTTATTTGCAGTTTTATGTATACAAAAATATGTACTTATTTCTAACAGTAGATTTATTATCAGTGGAATTCATTAGTTTTGAATGAACGTAACCTTTTTTGGCCTAACACAAAACTGTATGATGCGTCTAATTGGTAGAGGAAATCCGATGTTAAATATAGGCCAATAAACTATCAAATATGTGATTAACCGTTATAACATCAAGTCTTAGGCCTATAATATGGTGCAGCTTTAAAAATGATAATACTGTAATGATACCATTTTTAAATGCATAATTTTTATGTTGGTAATTTTTACTGTGTCAATAATGCGAGTTTATTTAGGCATACAATGGTTTTCAATTACTTTTGTGCAGTAACACAAAATGTGTGAAAATGTGCAAATAGCACCGATACTTTTTAAATAAACCTGAACTACTATTTATTTTTTATTAAGTCACGTTTGAAGATAGAAGCTACGTTTCATATTAGTTATGTATGGACAACATATAAAATATTTACCTGCTAATAAATAGAAAGTCTGGTCTTAAAATACACACATTCCAATCAAATATAATTTTATGTGAAATGAAGAGGCTTGAAAACCAAACAGATATTTTGAAATAGTCGCCCGAAACTATATTAGGATTGACAAAGTAAGACGTATATGTAATCTTATTAATACTGTCATGATTATTTCATTTATATTTAATCCATAATGTCCTGAAAATTAAAAATAATACTAAGCTATGAAAACAGAAAAAAGTATAGTTCAACTGATCTGAAATATTGGCGACGAACATGGACAACGTAAAACGAAAGCCTGAGGGATGCATTTTCTTTATCCTAAAGGCGGTTCCAGACATGCGCCAGTCACCAAGCACGAAATATTAACGTTCAGCGATTTAGTTGTATTGCTATTCACCGATTAAAAAGTAGACTCATACTACACACAGAGCAAGTGTTAGTTTTTCCGTCCGTAGGGAATAGAAAATATTCGTTTACTTTTAATTATGCAAAAATACCGACTATGTGCAACACTACGTCACAGTGGTGGATAGTTGTACGAAAATGTAACCGTAAAATCTGAAAACAGCCAGCTTTATTACCTTAAAAATACGGGATATTGTAGTGAATCTATCCACTAGTGTGACGTCATGAACCTTCAGCATGGCGTGTTTTTCTAGTGGGGCCTTGGTCGAAATCCCAAACAATGGACTTTGACAGGTAGAATGTACAGTCAGGTCCCAAAACAAGAGACTTAAGACAAATGTCCAGATTCGTCGTTGCACGACACGACGAAACTGGACACATTCAAATGTGTCCAAGCTTAACGTTGCACGCAAACGACGAACCTGGACACATTTATAAGTTGTCCAGGGGTGGCGTTGCACGACACGACGAATCTGGACACATTCAAATGTGTCCAAGTTTAACGTTGCATGCAAACGACGAACCTGGACAAGTTTTTAAGTTGTCCAGGGGTGGCGTTGCACGACACGACGAATCTGGACACATTCAAATGTGTCCAAGGGTAACGTTGCACGCAAACGACAACCCTGGAAACTTAATCTGTCCAACTTTAACGTTGTCCGCGTGTGTCGTTGTCCAAGTTCGGCGCGGTCCCGTATATTGCCGCGGGCAGGACTGAAAGTAAACTGAATCAGGTTATGACGGAAAGACGTGGTTTCTGGATTGTCGTCTGTGTTATCAAAAGCTGATATTGCACTAATTGTAGTGACGGAGGAGAGTGTTAAAAATATAATGGGATTCATGCAGAGAGCACAGAATAGAAATAGAGGGGCTACGTATATCCAGCAAGCATTGCAGGCAGTGTAGCCAATCCCCCACCACTTATACGGGCAAGTGGCGGCAACTGCTGCATATAGCGGTAGATCACCTTTTCCAAATGTACGATGATTTGACACACTTAGAGTAGACTTAAAATTACCAAATTTGGCACAGCTACTATAAATTAGTGCTTCTCACTGACAGTAAGGTTGGAATATAAAAAATTAATTTTATTGTAATTTTAACAGCCGTTAAAACCCAAAGAAATTATTAAATTATGAATTAGAACATGAAAAAGTAAGTGATCTAGATTTTTTTTATTTTTTGGTCAGGAGAGTTTCGTCAGCAGCAAAGTTTGAGAGCTTGAGTTGAATCATAACATATATTTTTTTTGAAAAATTAATGATGAGTAGTTTTGGAAATAAATCAGGTAGAAGAGGAAGCAAAATTTGGGACCCGCCGACGCTCGGGCGCTGCCTTGCGACTACACGTCTCTCACTATACTACCCTACTACGCACACAGTGATTGATGCATGCAATATTTATTCTAATTTATACATTTATAATATAAGCACGGTAAATTTGCATATATACAATTGCTATTTAATTATTATTTTGTGTAATTAATAACTAAATGATGACTAAATCGGTCCTATATTGAACAATACATTGAAGCCTGTTTAAAAACTGTTAGTAAGGATATTGAAACTAATTTATTTTGTTGAGTGAGTTTAACATTGCTCAAACATTTACAAATCATGTATAAATGGCAATAAACCAATTACACGTAACAACAATACATAATTTTTCACGGTAAATTACATATTTAACAATAATAGTTTGAACACAAAACATTTGACAACAAAATGATGTTCATAAATCTGTTCAAGAATACTTTTACCGTCCCAAAAAATGGCACAACCTTTGTTAGATGGTGCCTAGATCGACTTTCATGTAGGCTAACTTAAAATCAAAAATATCATTTTGTGTTTGTTTTACTTTGCTCAAACAACTACAAATCAAGTGTAAATGGCAATAAATGCCACACATTACAAAAACACAGGATTTGCACTCTAATTTGTACGATTTTAATATAAATAATATATTTATTTCATAAAAAAGTTTTTTTTATCCGTGTTACTATTGTTTCGCGTACTTAATGACTATTAACCACAAAATCCAAACCAGAAAGGTGACTAAATCATCATTGTTGCGTAACTATAATGAGTAAACTGTTGTAGTTTGCTTGTTTATGAAAATATTTTGGATCATATTTGGAAAATTCATTATTTTATACTAAATTACATATTAACATTTCACAAAAAACACTTTTCAACCCTCCCTGTTGCAGCAACCTATTTTTTATAAACCGAACCCTGTATATATACATATATCAAAGTAAGTTTTTTTATCTAGATCACACCAGATGAATGCGGGGGTCCAGTGGTGAGGTTAAAGAACTTCCTGGAGAAGGTTCTCAAGGAAGGAGATGTTTCTCCTCCCAATGGTCTGCTTCCACCTAACTTCTGGTAGTGCAAGACTAGACAGCTGGTCAGTTAGTTTTCATGTAAAACAGAGCAAAAACTTCAAAAGAGGTCTTCCGTTATATATTTGTGTAAACTAGTTGACTCTGGAGTGTACTCATACATTAATAAGCTGAGGTAATGATGTTCATCATATTTAAATTTAGTTATCACTTGATGCAGTAAGAATATATTAAATTTAGTTATAATTTGATACAGTAAAGAATAAAACTGTAGTTTTCATAATTTGTACTCACACAATCCAGATTAAGGTGTGAATTACCCCTTAGTCATAATATTGGATGCTGTAGTAATAGTTAGATATTACTTTCTCGCGTACATGTGGATGTTATTTAATCATGTATATTGTTGTAGTATTTATTGTACATATCCATTTCATATTGTTGAATAAAGACATTTTTATACAAATTGCTTGTTTTTGTACCCAGTGAAATGCATTAGTGTATTGAAAATAATCACTGGTAGATTTAGTGAGGAGTTCTTGTATCTTGTAGGCCAGCGGATCCCAAATTTTTCTAGCTTTTCCACCATCACCTTGGAATCTTTTTTGCAACCTCACATAATAATAGACTATAATTATTTATTATTATAAATTTATTAATATAATCATGTCCACTAAGAAACATACAACTAAATAAACAATGTGATTATGATGGTAATAAAAGTAGGCATGAAGTCAAAAAAACTTTTTTTGAGAAACTATTTAGAACTAAAGTTTATGCCTAATATTTACAAGTGACTTAATGTGGCTAATGATTGTGTAATTTAAAGCTGACTGCTACTGTATGTGTTGGGCATTTTCTACAGATATTCTATCACTGTACTTAATTTATAAGTAGGTTGCCCTCTCACACACAAATGCGCTTTTTACGACCCAATTGAGTTTAAAAAAGCTAGAGGTATAAACACATGTTTTATATGTTTACAAGTTTGTTTAGTAAATCGTGCGTTTATCCCAAATCAATCCTAACGTTATAATTAAGTGCGTTAACGTTATCCTTAAGTGTTATAATGGATAGACCTAGAGTGTACAGCTGTGGAGTCTGCAACAAGAACGCCAAAAGTAGTGCCATACTTTGCACAGGTCCCTGTGGTAAATGGATCCACTTCAGATGCATAAATTTGAAATACTCTGATGTAAAAACGATGTCCAAATTAGAATTAGGTAAATGGAATTGTCCTTCATGTATAAACGGTTTGGCTACTGAAACATCTAATATCAATGTGGAAAATGAGTTTGTTGAATCCGAATTAAACCTTTCCCTCGCTGCAGAAATTGATGGCGCTATCCTCCAAGAAAATGAAAACTTGAAACAACAGTTGAAATGAAGAATAAAAAGTCTCTCTTTGAAATGGAACTTGAAGATAAGTTGCCGCAAAAAGAAGTTTACATAAGAACAATGACTTCAACTCACAATGAGAGAATAGAGGAAAAAAATCCACTGATTAAAACTCTTGAGAGAAAGCTAAGAGCCGAGCTTCAGCTTAGGGAAGAGCTTATAATACATGATGAATCGAGCAAATGTACTGAAACTAAACCTATATCTAAAGACTATCAAACACAAATTATTCTACAAGAATTAAATCTAAAAAAACAGGAAGTAAAAAATCTTAATGCTATTATTAAAGTGTTAGAGCAAGATAAAAATACCCTAGAAAGTGAGGTATCAAATCTCCATTCTCAGAACTCTAATCTGTGTTTGCACTATTACCCAGTTTAAGAAAATGTTCAGAGTAATGATGGGAGGGTATTACAAAGGCCAAGTCTAACTCAAAATGAAAGTCTATCATTTAATATTCCATGTAGCAATCGTTTTGATATTCTTACAGCACCTGATGCTGATGTAGCACAAAACGATGACAGGAGCGATATTTGTGCTATTGGACCTAACTCTTCATCTGCACCTGAAGTCACCAATAAGTTTATTAGTAAGCCTGTGAAGAAAAAGATTTCTGGAAGGAAAACATCATCTAAACTGACAGCTTTCAAAGATTCCCATTCGAATCAGCCCTACAAAAAAGCAGAAGATAATCCAAAAAAGGCTGATTATAGGATGTTGGTGTGTGCTGATAGTCATGGACGTGAGCTATCTCGGAACATAAATAATATTCTTTAGTCCCACGAAACGGTGGCCTTTGTAGCTCCTGGTGGGGGGGCGAAGCTTGTTCTTAACCCAGCAAACCTGAGGGGTGAGAAGCTGACAGAGAAAGATGTATTAGTAGTTTTGGGCTGGACTAATTTTGGTCGTGGTTGTTTGTGCACATCAAATAAATTACGACCAAATAAGTAATAGAAAAGTATTTTAATAAAAAGAGTTAAATTTTGTGTACAATCCTGAAACAAAAACCAGACTAAATCATAATGCGTTGCTATGACAACGTCATCAGCTGACGCTACAACAGCCCCCCACGGAGAAAAGGAATCTATACATCATTTTGAAAAGTAACCCGTGGTCGGATTTGTCTTCCAGAACAAGTTGTATAAGACTTCGGAGATGGAGTTTGACAAGATGGTGGTAGGTTTGAGGTTTCCTCCGTTTGTCCAGCCGGCACCAAACGTTTCATGGGCTCAGGAATAGGATTTTCATCGGCAACATTATAGGCTGGTTTGACCCTGTCCAAAGATACCTTAGTTTCTTGGCCTCTTACAATGATGGTAATTGTCTTTTCTTCACGGCATATGACCTTGTAAGGACCAGAATATGGGACCTGTAAAGATTTCCTTAAACAGTCCTGTCGAAGAAATACAAAGTCACAAGTACAGAGGTTCTTGAACACAAACGACCCTGGTTTAATGTGGCGTGATGCGGGTGTAGGTCTTAGTTGATTCATATGCTTACGCAGCCCTGATACCAATTCTTGTGGCTCGTTGCTCTCGTGGGAAGGTATTACGAAAAACTCTCCCGGAAGACGTAGTGGTTCTCCAAACACCAGTTCAGCCGATGAAGCAGAGATGTCCTCCTTGAAAGCAGATCTTATTCCGAGAAGGACAAAGGGCAGTACTTTGGTCCAGTCTGATTTGCTGTGAGGAGGAAACCCTGCTGGAACCATTAGTAAGACAATCTAACACAGAAGAGCCTGGTGTGTCTGTACCAGTGATGTCAAGATGCCCTCAGAGACCAGGAGATATGAGTCAACCACCTCCTCCAGGAACAGAGTTGCTGTCGGGAAACTCCACCCCACCGGCTTCAACGGTTCATCGACAACAACCAGACCCTCTGACCCACCCATAGATGTAATAAATTTTACTAGTTGTGATGAAATTAGCTTAAGTAAGTCCAGTAAATGTGAGAATGGTTTAATGAATAAGAACTACAAACAATAAAAAAAAAATAGTTTTACAGGTAATAAAAATTATAATAATGTTCACACAAAAAACACTGTAACAATTTATCACCAAAATTGTCAAAGCCTTCTGAATAAAGTCAATACATTGGAATTGATTGCAAAAGAAATGAATTTAGATTTTCTCTGTGTAACTGAACACTGGTAAAAGTTAACGAAATCAACATATGTTCAATTAGCGACCTTCATCATGTCACTAGCTATTGCCGAACTTCTAGAATTCATGGGGGCACAGCAATTTTTTCTCGCTATGACCCATCATGTATCAAAGTAATGGATGATATGAATAAATTATCTGTTGATTTAGACTGTGAAATAGCAGCTGTTGAAATAATAAACATGAATTTATTGCTAGTAACCATATACCGTAGTCCTAATGGAAATGTCCAAATTTTTTTAGCATCTTAGAAAAGTTACTAAGCCAAATCAATCGGCAGAAAAAACAGTCAATTGTATGTGGCGACTTTAACATTAATTTTCTTAGTAATGATGATAGTGACTCTGTAAACCTTTTAAACCTTTTTAGTATGTATGGGTTGCATATGACAATTCATGAGCCTACGCGAGGTAATAATTGTTTGGACAACATATTCACCTCATTAGAAAATAATTATACAGCCTCTGTGCTTAATAAACATGTTAGTGATCACCTTGCTCAAGTTTTTACTTATAATTATAGGGTGGAAGGGAAGGATTACTTTCCTGTATATAAAGGTAAAACAGTCACAAAAATATCTGAGGCTGGTATAAGAAGTTATGTCCTATTCCGCTCGAGTTTTATTTCGCCCGTAACCTAATTAGTCCCAGTTCGCACACGGTCCCAGATTAACCCTTATAATCCTCAGCTCTACCTGCGTCAGGAGTCCTATTCCATCCACGGAGGACCCCACCCACCCCCAACTATGTAAAAGCCCTCCCCTACCCATCACCCGGTTATCCACCTTCGACTACACGGTTATTTAAGCTTCAAATATTTGTTTGACAAATCAAGGGAATTTCCTTTATAGTATTAATGTAAAGTTTAAACACAAAGATATCTGTAAAATATTTATAAAATTTACTGTCCATGTACTGTTAGTTACTGTATGTTTGTCTATCCAAAATGTGCAAATAAGCAATTTAATTATTATAATATTGCGCTTAACGTCAAACAGAAACATATGATAACACTGCAATCCAAGACATGGCCAAACAAAGGCCACTAGTTAGCTGCTCCTAGTGTTAAATACCCATCTGCAACTGCACACCTTTGAGTTTTCTTTATTATACAATTCAAATAATTCGCCTATTGGAATGGTTAATGATGATTGGAGCGTCGAATCGAACTCGATCACCATTTGCCATCTTTTGTGTATAATTATCGTCTGGTGAGATAACAGTATAAGAGCACAAATATATATTTTAAGTGTTATTAGACGTATTTTTTTTACTTTTCTTATACAATGTAATGTGTAGTAGTTTACACAAGGATTGCGTTAAGGTAGTATCGTTTACTCTATTTACGCGAGTTGCGTACACTACTTTACCTACGACAATATTTTCTCATGAATAACCAGATGTGTTGACAGGATGTGGATGAAGCGCGAGGGATGTTGACTTGGAAAGTCCAAGCGTTGTCCGTGCGAAATAACAGGGGAGAAATAGCAGAGTTTCCCATTTTTCCAAGAGAGGGTGGTCATTAAGGATTCGTCATCGGTATGCTTCTTTTTGGGGAGATGAGAGCTAAATCTCATTTCCATTTTATGTGACGTTGACTGTTACACATCGCGATGGAGTACACAACTACTAATAGAGGTGCGCTTAGTCTTATTTACAACGGGTATGGATATTATAAAAACGCGAGAATAAATCTGGTGAAGTGATCTGGTGGTCTAGTTTTATTATTTTATTATTTATTTATATATTTTACGCCACACTACATTTTTTAACGAACTTACCACCCAAGGATTTAGTCCAGAAAACAGCTGTTTGCCACCAGCTTATTCAAATGGGGTTTTATTGCGAACTACTATACTGTAATGAGTTTTACCGGACACCAATCAGCTGATTATACTGTATTTAGGTGGCAATAACTGTTTATAAACAAAAACATAACCTCTCTTAGAAGCTATGACTATGGATTTTTAGTCCTTTAGTTTGTGGAAATTTATAAGGATTCGTACAGATTTAGTAGTATGGCGTTAAGTATTGTACGTAACTTGTCCAAAATGTGTGTAACTTGTCCAAAATGTGTGTACCGGAATCGTATGGTAATCCCTTGCTAGACTTCGTCTCGCACGGGAACGACCACACTGGTCCGGTAAACACTTATTTTTAGGACTACTATAGTAACGTAATATATATACTATTTCGCAACAATACTGTGAAATCACCTGTTATCGTTACATGTTTATCACCTGCGAAAACTCTTCATTACATTGTTTACTACGGCATAAGAATGTTTACTATGTGAAAGCATTGACTAAGGAAATAAAAGTTTCCCTTGTCTGTGGTGAAAGTAAGTATTAACTTTTTATTCTAGGCATAACCAACAAACTGGTTATGCCTTGATGAAGAAGATAAAAAATCTTATTAATGAAGAAAATAATTATTCTTTGTGGTGTGGCGAAGAGTAACGTTCAAAACACTAGTGAAGGTGGGTCTATGCATAATCTCGACCATTTAAAGTGCTTGATAAATCCCAAACTTAAAAAATGGTCTCAAATATGTAATGACTTACTTTCTACTCCTTATTATAAAATTACAACAATTAATACGATACTATAAACTAATACGAACGACTGTTTTTAAGCTAACCATTTCAGTGCAATTCTTAGAATTGGAAAGATTCTCTTAACAGCATTGTTTATTTACAAAACAGCATTGGTACAATGGTTCGTTGCATCACTGTCAGTGGCAATGAGATTTTATAACTTAAACGAAAACATAACCTCTCTTAGAAGTTGTGAATAGTGGTATAAGTAATTAAAATATTGTCGTAGGTAAAGTAGTGTATGCAACTCGCGTAAATAAAGTAAACGACACTATCTCAACGTATTCCTTGCGTAAACTACTACAGTATATTACATTGTATACGAAAAGTAATAAAAAAATACGTCTAATAACACTTAAAACATATATTTGTGCTCTTATACTGTTATCTCACCAGACGATAAATATACACAAAAGATGGCAAATGGTGATCGAGTTTGATTCGACACTCCAATCATCATTAACCATTCCAATAGGCGAATTATTTGAATTGTATAATAAAGAAAACTCAAAGGTGTGCAGTTGCAGATGGGTATTTAACACTAGGAGCAGCTAACTAGTGGCCTTTGTTTGGCCATGTCTTGGATTGCAGTGTTATCATATGTTTCTGTTTGACGTTAAGCGCAATATTTTAAATAATTAAATTGCTTATATGCACATTTTGGATAGGGAGACAAACATACAGTAACTAACAGTACATGGACAGTAAATTTTATAAATATTTTAAAGATATCTTTGTGTTTAAACTTTGCATTAATACTATAAAGGAAATTTGCTTGATTTGTCAAACAAATATTAGTCGAAGGTGGATAACCGGGTGATGGGTAGGGGAGGGCTTTTACATAGTTGGGGGTGGGTGGGGTCCTCCGTGGATGGAATAGGACTCCTGACGCAGGTAGAGCTGAGGATTATAAGGGTCAATCTGGGACCGTGGGCGAACTAGGACTAATTAGGTTACGGGCGGAATAGGACTACACGGTATAAGAGAATTCAAGTATTATTTAAGAAAAGAAAATTGGAAAGAGGTTTTTTACATTAACGACATTAACTTAGCATTTAGTAGTTTTGTAAATATTTTGTGTTTTTATTTTAACCTTTGTTTTGTAAAACATGTAAAAAATGTCAAAGGAAAAAGAAGACCTTTAACAAATGTTCTTGGTATAATTCAGAGCTACAAAAACTTAAAGAAAGATTGGATTCTCTCTACCATTTATATAAAGACACAAATGTTGTTTGGTATAGAAATGAGTACAGAAAACTTAAAAATGTGTATAAATGTAAGATTAAAAATGCCAAAAAAGGGAAAATGCTATGCCATAGAAAACGCCAAAAATAAAACAAAAGCTTTATGGAATATTGTAAATAAACATAAAAATAAGTCAAGCAAATGTAGAGTAGATAATTATTTTAAGTCAGATGAATTAAATGAATATTTTGTGAATACTGCCTGTGATAATGTAAATTCTAGTCAAAATGTAGGAATAAGTAATTGTTGTAACTTTACTCATTATTTAAGGAAAAAGTAGTACCTGATAGTGTTAGAGATTTAGTTTTTAAATATGTGACGGAAAATGATGTTTTAGATGTAGTAAAACAGTTAGCTCCAAAAAAAAGCATGGGTCATTTTGGAATGACAAATGCTCTCAAGGAGACCATACCTTACTTAGTAACCCCATTAACAATTTTGATTAACAACTGTATGGCTCAAGGTGTTTTTCCTGATATCATTAAAATAAGTAAAGTTCATCCTATTTCCGAAAAAGGAAAAAAGATGAAATAGGTAACTATAGGCCTGTTGCCAAATTGTTCCTGTTCTGTCTAAAGTTCTTGAAATAGTTATTGGTAAACAGTTAATGCAATACTTAGAATCAAATCAACTCCTTTGTACAGAACATTTTGGATTTCGTAAAGGGCTTTCAACGACACATGCCATTACTTCCTTGGTTGATGAAATTCTCGACTGTTATGAAAATAAGGATTTTGCTGCAATTACATTCTGTGATCTCAGTAAAGCATTCGATCGAGTATCCCATGAAATTTTGGTAAAAAAATTAGAATATTATAACATTAAAGGTAAAGTGTTAGATTTATTTAGATCTTAGTTGTCAAACAGAACACAATATGTAAATGAAATGAAATAATGAAATGAAATAATATTTTATTTCCCATTAATTATTTACAGATAAGTACATTGTATTTTTTTCTTTACTTAAATATGATACAGCAAAACATTACTAACTAGATAACAAAACAAAAATTATATACTGTAGAAATAGGTGAATAAAAGTGTAAAAAAAATACATTCTATAGGAAAGGAAAAAGTCTACATAGGCAGGGCCTGTGCGTAGACTCGAGTTGCGAAAAGATTAATTTAAATGGGAAGTAAAAAATATATAGGAGGAAAAAACCGTATAGTTAATTTTTTTTTATATTTGTCTTGCGTAGTTTTGGGAGAAGATGCATCATCTCTTAAGCCTGTATTTTGTGGAGTTCCCCAAGGATCTGTGCTTGGGCCTCTGTTGTTTTTGGTAGTAGTTAATGATTTAAGTGTTAATATCCCTTATATGCCGACGACACAACCACCATTACTAGACATGCAGATCATGAACAAATTTTTGTTGACTCTATGCATAATCTGAAGCTGGCTGAAAACTGGTTAATTTCTAATAATCTTGTTCTGAATAATGATAAGACAAAAACTGTTTTGTTTAACCTTCGTGAAGTACATAGTACGCCAATGGATGAGAGAAATTCAAAATTTTTAGGATTAACTTTTGATTCTACTTTGACCTGGCATGACCATGTTATAGTTTTAAAAAATAAACTGAGTTCAAGTATATTTGCTCTTAAACAATTATGTGGCGAACTAGAACGGCCTTCTCTCATACAGGCATACTATGGACTTTTTTCATAGCCATTTAAGCTATGGGTTACTTGTTTGGGGGTCTTCTGCTCATGCAAAAGAAATTTTCAACTTGCAGCAAAGGGCAATTAGGGTAATAGCTGCTGTAGATAGGCACCATGATTGCACTGATTTTTTTAAAGAATACTAAATATTAATACTGTTTTCTCTATTTATTAAGCAATGCCTGTTATATTTAAGACCACAATTAGATAAGTTAGATTATAGGAGAGATATACACTGCCATAATACTCGTCATAAATTTAATATAAATCTTCCTTATGTTAGACTTGCTAAAACTAATAAAAAACCATTAATTTTAAGCAGTAAATTTTATAACAAGTTACCAATAGCCATAAGATTACTTAGTGATAAGGATTTCAAGATTAAAATAAATAACTTTCTTTGTAATCAGCCATTATACTCGATAGAAGATTATATGTCAAGAACACTGACTCCACTAGATTTTAATTAATGTTATGTTATGACTAATTTGACGTGCCAATGTATGCTGGTATGGAATATTAACTGGTAAATAAAAATCTCATTCTCATTCATAACTATATCTTGTAATTGCGGCATTAACCTGATCATCTCCAACGATCCACGGTCACTTCGTAAGCATCGTCCTCGTCTGTGGTAACATCATGATCTTACAAAAACTTGAGAGAAAATTATTATTGGTCACATTGTCACATTATTAGAGCTTTATTCACACCCAAAAAGTCCTAATAAAGTATTCAAATCCACACATTAAATTGAGAATAAATAATTCCCAAACAATTGTTGTTAAAAATTCCTAGTAGCCTATTATTAAGCTAAAACACACAATAAACTGTGAATGTTATAATGTACAGCCGTGACTCTTGCTTCCCGCTCGGTACTATTCTGGTGCTCACTAAACTGTTAATTCCAGTTTCAGTAATGCAAATTAAGAGTCCCCAAGAAAAAAACATTTTCAATGTACCACCCACACATTTTCTCCTCCCGCCACCCACCAAAATTGCTTCCACGACCCACTATTGGGTTGCGACCAATAGATTGGGAACCACTGTTGTAGGCTATATATAAATCTTGTACATATATTGCCTAAGTAGACAGTAGAATATAAAAATGTAAATAACGAAGCAGATTAATAGAATGTAATCCAATACTGTGTATTTGCAACAAATGCCCAAGTCACTTATCATTTTGAAACATTTTGGTGGAGTTATCAAGCAACTTATCTAAACAAGGTTCATGAAAAGCAAACATTTTACTTAAAACAATTGTATTGTATTTAAAATAAATTAATTTGAACATGGTTTACTTTCACTTTATTAAGTACAACAAAATAACTGGACTAGAGATTGTTTACAAAGCACATGAATCAAGTAAATATATCGACTAGAAAATCACTCAAGTCAAATTACATAACACCATAGTAAACTAATATTGACATAAAAGTTTGACAATTAAAAAAAATTAACCTATTTTACATCATCGCCGATTACAGATAATTTATATTTAGAATTTTAATTCTAATAAATATTAAATTAAATTATTGAAAGTACCTACATTAAAATGTAACTACACTCGAACGGTCCCGCAGAACACGGGTAATACGAATGTCCGCTTAATTCAAACAAGTTCCAGAAATTTTTGTAAATAATTTCCCCTGATGTAAAAATATATATTTTACAAGACTAAATACCTAGAAATGTTTTAAAATTATATTTCTTAATCCTAGTGTGTTAAAATGGATTTTGCTGTATATTCAACTGTTTCGGCAAATTATTATATTTACCTTTGCTGTTGTTGTCTGTTGTAAATCTAATACTAATATATGTTCTTGAAACTGGGATAGAAAATAAATAGGCCCATAGTTATATCATAGATAAAACATATTCCCTTAGTAGATTTCTCATCCTTATGGAAACCTTCCATATGGTGTTTTTTGCTGAAGACGATTTTATTGTTCTGTACGGTTTATGTAGAGGTCGTGTTTTGTTTAGAATTTGTTTCTTGTTATTACAGTAATTTAAAACCTCGTTTAGCCAAATACTGTAGTCCGATCTAATCATAAACAATAACTTGTCCCCTAGTTATATAACCAAACAGTAAAGCACAAATCAATAAATTAACCCTAAAATAATATAAACAAAACTTTGTTGACACTAGCGCCCAGCGTGATGATGATGTCCACATGACAGGTGGGAAATATTTGTGAATTTACGTTGCAGTAATCCCAGAAGTCTACCATGATTGCAGATGATACGCTGTATGGTACTATGGGATGATTACCGCTAGTTTGGCTTGAATGAAAATATCAGGCTGGCACACCTCTAGTTATAATAAAATATTCTTTTCGTCGTTAGATCTTCATTTACCCTTGATATGGTAGTTATTTAATGTGTTAAGAAGAGTTTTAAAACCCATTGGCTGGATAGAACTTTTCATAGCTTCATTTTTTTCTTTAATTGTTAAAACCCCATTATCTTAATAACTTTATGACATAAAGACAGGAGTTGGTGTAGTATAACCAAATTATTTTGAAAATTTTGTAAAACTATACAAATTTTTAATAGTCTCAAGAATTGAGAACCTATACATTTTGGTATTGACACATCACAAATTGTTGAAAAAACTAGTCTTGAAAAGTTTGGAATTAGTCTTGAGTTTTAAAATGGAAATAAACTAGACTATAACACAATATTTATGATTGCGCAATATTGTTATTTTATTTATGTAAAAACGCTAATGATGAATGACATTAATGTCTATTTACAGAGTATTAAATTGTCGGTTTTTGAGTTGTTTGTTTTGTTATATGTTTTTTCCATGTTGGATTTATCCTGGTTTTGATTATTCGTGATCTCCCTCTCCCAAATCACCCAGGGTTCTACTGTACTGTAGGAGTAATTGAGGTTCAACCTTATTTAAATTATTTCGGCCAATCCAAACAGTGTTCGGTCTTATTAGTTTGGATTAGACGGACTCAAAAAGTTTGTATTTTCCAAAAAGAGTTGTAAATTATATTTCCTGATACCAAGGAATGACTTTTTAAGAGTTTATCCGCCGATACCTCTTTATTAATACAATAGTTGATCCTTTAGCTAAATGATTTATGTTCTTTAATCCTTAAGTTGGGTTTTCCCAGCATCAGATATAGATAGCTGATTACGCTCTCCTCTTGTCTTTATGGTAATTTAATGTTACTATTTCCCTAGAAGTGGAGCAGACTGCCCCTGGAGGAGCAGTCTGCGTCTATGAATACACTCATAAGGAAATGAAATCTTTGGTTCCTTGAATATAAGATTCGATAAACTAAAATTTTGTCAATAATCGTCTGGAGGTTCAGTCTTGATTTTCACCTCTACCTGACTCAGAAGGTAGCTCAGGTCAGGCTCAGGTTCTTGTTTGATTCTGTCCAGATCTGATTTGATGTTGACCAGTTCCGGTTCACAAAGTCCAGGTGTTGAACCTGCCAGTGAACTTTCAGTCAGCTGTTGTGATAACATTTTGCTCCATCGATTCTGTAACATAAAACACAAGAAATTTACTGGCATTAATTTTTAAACTATTATTTTTTACCGTTTCAGTAAATCTTGGAGAAAGTATTGATGTTGTTAAAAAAATTGAGTTTGAGTTTTGGGTGGAAATATCTATTTTGGGTCTCCCTGAACCCAAAAAAAGTTTTAATGTGATGAATAATCAAATCGAAAATCAAAATAAAGTTTATTTCCAACAAAAAGTGATACAATTGAATTCATGAATATCCATTTCCAGTGAACCTTACCAACTTTACCAATATAAAAAAATAAAAATCTTATAAACTAGAATTATTTTTTTTTAAGATCCAAAACACTTTAATATAATAAGTTATAGTACAATTTTGACATTAAAAATAATAAAACATTTAAATATATTTAAATTAATAAATAACTGTTACTCCAGTCCCATCTTCAAACTCTCTAAGGGTCCTCCACTTCTTCCTTGTCCTCCTTAGACACATGCTGCTGGCCCTTAACGTCGCACAGATGGTTTTTACACCTATCCAGTTCATCACTAAACTGTAAGGTTTCTTCCATTTTTCTGTTAGGCATTCTGCCATTGCTCTGAGCAAGGTCTGAAACTCTTTGCCCAGCATTCCGTCCACAGACGTGACTAGTGGGGTAAAAGATGCATTTCTGGTTTCTGTTATTGTTAAATATTTCCTCTTCTTCTCTCTTTCTGCATTCACCAACACTTTTTTGTATAGGAGGTTCAAGTACGACGGAGCATCAGTGTCAGCGACACGTACATCGAATAATGCTTCCGTCTGAACCTCCCATACACCCCTACAAGCCAAGTCTGCTTTTAACGCTGCAGTATCAAATGACCCTTGCTCAGAGATCATTGGTTCTCGAACACAGTTTCCCCATGCTAGCTCCATCAAGCTTCCAAGGGTATCCCTTACCTCATTATGTCTTCTTATTATCAAACCACCTGTGCGACAGTTAAGGGTATGTTCCATATTGAAGTTTTTGCCACAGCCATCACATGAAGAGGGGAGGTGTATAGGAGTTTTCCCATATCTTAATGCAAGAACATCTCTGAACTCCAGTGGAGAAAGATCTAAGTTAAGTTTTTTCAGAGGAATGCATGACAGCCATCCACCGTGTTTTGCTTTAGTATTTGCTCCTTGCAAGATAATTTTTTGTTGTTTTAGAGGAAGATTTTGAATAGTCGATTTCAAAATGTTTTCTTGTTCTAATCTTCTCTCCTCTTTCAAGTCCTTTTTTGTGATAATCAAATGTTCTTCATGTTCTTGGATACTTATTTTCCTCTTAGTTTTAGGGAGTCTATGATGAATTTACAACATCTCTTTGAAGCTCGGAACAATGCTTTTCCCTGAGCGGTAGGGTCAACTAAACCAATTCCTCCATTTTTTATTTGCAGATGTAATATTTTTTGTTCATCTTGGTTTAGGTGAGAGCCAAATAAAGCAGGAAATAGGTTTTGTTCTATTGAGTTTTTTATTGGATGAAAATTAATGTCTTCACTTTCAACAACTCTTTGAAAGAAATTCCATTTAGCTTGTATGGATTTTGTGGCAACAGTGTGTGCAGATTGTGGGTATTTTTTAGCTACATTCATTCCCCAGACTTACCAAATGACAATTCCACTTTTCTACCTTCTTTTTAATAAAGACTTCTTTTTCAGTTTTGTCACATCCAATAAATCCTCCTAAATAACTACTCCCAGTAACAATCTTTAATCCTGATATGTTGGATAGGTCTAATGTTGATGGTTCAGATCCAACAATCAAACGGGTTTTGTGAGCTTGTGGGTAGTAACCATCTTTAGGCCCAATTTCTTGTAATTTCTCCCACCATTTTATCACATTATAAAGTTTTCCTTGACATGATGAGTCATCCGCATACCATACTTGGTTTGTATCTGTGATGGTTTTTAATTCATTAATTAACGGCAAAGTGGCTGATCCATATAATATCATGGATAAAGGGTCTCCCTGAGTAACGCCTTCTCTGCTATACAGTTGTTTTTTACTTCCTGGCATAATTAGTGCAGCCTTACTCTGGTATGTGTTGAAAATGAGTCGTGCAGCCCTTGGCCATTTAATTCTTGCCTGCCAAAACGCATGAACTCTGTTTATCCTGTTGAAGGCATTGTCAGCATCAACCATTATCATGCAGCTGTCTTCTTCAGTTTGACGTTTTTCTTCATATTGGTCTCTCATGAAATGTATTGCACCTTCAATTCCTGCTTTTAACCCTACACAGAGTTGATCAGTGAAACATATTTCAATAACTTCATCACCAGCTGCAAGAATTATGCATTTTGCTAAGATACGGCGGAGCACTTCTCCTACAGTATACCCACCGGTCTAACACCAGGGCATTTGTCAATTGCAACCAACCGATTAGCCATAAGAGATTGAATTTTTGACCAAGGTATGATTTCCTCATTTAACTTCATTGCTAATTCAGCAATTGACGCTCTTAAAAAAGCACTTTTTCTACCATTCCTTAGTAAAAAATCTGTCCATTGTTCAGAAGTACTCCCGCCTGGCCCTCCACTTCCATGCAATTTTCTTGCAACTTTTTCTACATGTTCAGCTGTGATTTCAACTGACTCTAATCTAGGCATTTCTTTCATGTGGCTAGGTAGTCTTAACAAATCCGGATGAGGCATTGTGCCATTTGGATGTTTTTCTTTCAATATATCAAATACTGTGCGTCTATCACCATCTATTATAGTATCAGGACTTAATATGCCTCCTTTATTGTCTTGATTAATAATCTGAGATGCTTCTTTTATTTTTCCTCTTTAAAACAATCCATTGAATTTAGTTTTAATGAACTCTTCATTATCATTATTTTCGGCTTTATTCTTTGATTTTAGGGACCTATTACATCCAATTGCTTCATCTATTAATTCATCATAGCATTATTAGTCCACTTATCAAGTCTTCTTTCAATTAATTTTCTAATATCGCCTGTCTTACCATATTTTCTTTTTGTAATATAACAGCAATGAAACATATGAATCGCTCGGAAAATTCTTGACCATTTGCTAAAAGTAAAATTTCTTCAGCTAACATTTTCACAAATCTGTCACCTATAGAGCCACATGGTAGGTCGTATTGTAATCTATTGAGATGTATGATTTTTTTCCAACGGGACTTCCAATCTGAGGTAATTTGGTGTTCTTCTATAGAATTATTTATGTTGAAAGATTCTACTAAATCTTTACATTCATTCAAATTATCCAACTGTAAAAGCTTTGGTTGATATAATGTTTCAGAATTTTTTAAGAGGACAAGGTGTTTTAGTTGGGATTGGTTTGTTGATGAAATAGCTTCTCTTATTCTTTTTAATTTTAATTGCATTATCATTGTATGGACTGTCAGTACTTGTTACTTAATCTTCAGCTTTACCAGTGCCTTTACAATTTTTAATATGAATTTTTATGGCTCTTTTAGTATATTTTTTTTACATTTGGGACAAAAATCATATCAATCTATGTCAAACAGAGGCAAAGGATAAGGTTCGACAGATAATTGTGACCTTTCTGACATAGCATCTGTAAATTCTGGTGTCACATTTACTTCTGATAAAGGTACATCTTCTTCAGGGCACTGTGACTCACTTGAAAAACTGCTGTCGTCACCTTGCCACTTAAAACAAGGTCTCATGTATCTCTCGTCTCTGCCCATCGTTGTCTTATATAAACCAGTGGATGTGCTTGGAGGGTCAGGTCTTGCCTCTCTAACTGTTGAACAATCAGAATTAGGGTCTTGCCTTGGTCCGGGGTTTGATTCAACATCCCCACAAAGGAGTATTAAAGTCATTAGTATTGCAAATGTGTAATTAACATTTCTGTATTTAGTTTTATGAATTTGTTTCTAAATTCGTTTGTGTTTTCCGTACAAAATCCTTTCTAAACTAATGTCATAATGTATTGACTGTTGATTAAAATTAAATACCATCATCACACAGTTCATACTACGGAAATTACTACGGAAATCTCTCTAGCTTCACAAGAATACAAGGAATCCAATACACAAAGACGAATTAAAAGAAAAATTCTTAATATCAACAATATTTTCTTAATGTTTGTTCTTACTAGATTGTTTATAGGTTAGGATAAAATTTACCTCTCATATCTTTCCATTCTTCTTAAAGTTAAAGGTAATTCACATAATTCCAATTTCAAAATAACTGTTTAGTAAAATAAAAAACATATCACAGAGCTAATAACAAACTGAAAATTGACAAATTTCTTTAAATAATTTGGAGGGAAAAATTTGTAATGTTTTGATCATCATAGAACATATGATAATGCACAAAGCAATGCTCAATTTAAAAATTTGGGAAATAAGTCTACATGGGCTTGGGAGCCTGTGCGTAGGCTCAGTCGCTATGAGTGGATATTTTGTATTGGAAAGACAAGAATAGGAATGTTCAGTGGAATATTTATGAATGGAATGTGATTTTTGTATGGCTGAAGTTTAATGACTGAATTTAGGTAATTTTGAGGGAATGGAATACGGAGGGAATGAAACAGTAGTTAAGTAATAGATGCGGAGGAAAATGAAGTAGGGTCAAATCTTCCTGTACTCTGGTTAGATAAGGTGTTCTGATTTTTCTACAACCCCCCCTCTACTAACCGACTAGTGATGCATTTCTAGAAAATAATAATCAATGGAGAGTAAAACAACTGATAAGAATTACAGCGGGAGTTAATATTACGATATAAAACTTCTTACAAGGAATTTGTCATTAAGTTAGAACTTGATAAATATGAGGCAGTTATTCCTACATTCTGTGCATATCGGGCTCTATAAGAATGTGATTTATTGTAAAAATTAAGAATCGAAGTTCTTGAAATATGAATTGAAAGAAACTTGATGAACAACTGTCTTACACTAAGCAAGGAAACTTCACGAAATAGTAAATTAGTGTGGGGTAACGAATAGGTTTATTGAAATTTAAACAAACTTTGACTAACAATTTCTGAAGGACAAATAATGGTTCTAAAACAGTGGAAAAAGCTCCGCTCCATACGATAAAGCCAAATGAAAGTAACGATTGTATCATCGGCATATATTTACTGACGTGTAGCGTTTGGCAACGGTTGGTCGTTAGTGTATATGTTATAAAGAGCTGGGGCTAAGACGCTACCCTGAGTCAATCCATTTCTTTGATTCCTTTGACCTCTCCGCTGACTCTGTCTCTCTTTCCAGTTGTTTTTTTTGTCCCCCTTACTGTGGAAAGTAGACAAGAGACACACTTCTTTCTTGTCCTGTCATCTTAGAGCCATCATGTCACAGCTAAACCCAACTTCATACTCACCGACATCAAGTTTTTCACTTTTGAAACTGTCAGGCATATTTGTCCTCCACGAGTTCACCGTCCCAATCACATTGAAACCAATATGTTTCAATCTATAGTAGAGGAGAGGTGAGGAGTACCAGTTGTCAATTGTGATGTTATGACCATTACCGGAACATTCCTTGGCCATTTCAATCACTATGGCCTTGCTCAACAAAAGTTTTTCCTCCTCAGCAGTGTCTCCACCCCCTTCTTCCACTGTTTTACCTTGTTTCACTTCAGCCCCGGTGTATATTTTAAATTTTGAACAGTATCCACTGCTCAACTCACAACATTTGTAAAATTTGATCCCGAACCTGGCTCTTTTCTTGGGGTTGAATTGCACATAGGTACCCCAACCTCCCACGAAATTTCATCAAGCTTTCGTCTACTGCAATATTTTCATCGGCCAAATATAACCGAGAAAACTTTTGATTCATATAATCAATGACATACCTCAGTTTCCACAGTTTGTCATTCTGGGGCTTATTTTTATCATCACAAATATGAAACATTGTTGATAAGAGCAAAACCTACGTAAAGGCATAACTTTTCTAAAAAAAAATGGAGTCTCAGTAGTAGCAGTAGGGGCCCAATACGATTGAATGGTCCTTTTCTTCACAAGTGATATCAAAATACATAGACTGTAAAAACATGTCATTTCATCAGGAGTTGTTTCAAACCATTCAGAGAGTTACTGTTTATCTTTACCACTTGCATTATTTTTTTCAATCGTCTCTTTGGCGTATTTGTTCGTATCTGTAGCAACATGTTGCCAAAAATCATCCTCGACAAACGTGTTGAATACTTCAACTTCAGATGGAGAAGGACCTAAATTTCTGGCTAAGCTTGCCCTGACACCAGGGCAGCCTGTAAAAGGTATTTTGAAAATACTATTATCTTCTATGGTGTTGGTCCATTTCCAACCTTGTTTTTTTCTTTTTCTTTTTGCAGCTGTTTTAGGTTGGCCCTTGGACAGCTTAGTAGGCTTAGGTAGCACTAAACTAGGATTTTTTCCTTTAGGCCTGCCTCTATGTCTTCCCCTTCCCTTTGATCTACCAATAGTTGTACCTCTACTATACTCAGGTACTTGAAAAGAAATGTTTTCAATAAAACTGGGGTCATCAGCCTCCTCAATGGTTTTAATGGCGGACGGCGATTCGCCGTCGCTTCACACAATGGCTCGCAGGAGCACCGCCGTCGCTTTAAATTCAAATTCAAATTCAAATTCAAATAGTTTATTGCCATTAAGTATACATGTCATACAATAGGCCAGGTCAATGGAGATAATATACAATTCAAAGTACAATGTACAGAGTCAAGTGTAAATAGATGAACATGCTATACTAATAAACTAATAATACTGGGTTTTTGTACAAAAGTATTTGAGATGTATTGATAATGATGATAATAATACTGTTTATAGTTAAGCAAACAAGTTGGGTAAGTGCCTATAACAAAATAATTACAAGGCTAAAATTGGCAGAGAGATACAGCTTAAAACTAAATAACAATAAATTTTTAAATAAAGTTCACAGAAATAACATTATTATGAAAGACTATTATATCACAGTTCATGAAACCATTATTACATACTTTAGAAACAATACCCTACTTAACAATTAGAATTTTACAGAAAATCATCATGTTTGAAAGATAAAAATTCCTCGATAGAGTAGATAACCTTTCTGTTCAAAAAATCGGTCAATACATTTTTCAGTGACTTAATAGGCAAGTTGCGTACATTTTCAGGGAGGGCATTGAAAAGTTTAAGTTGTAAATATTTATAGCTGCGCTGTGTTGAGGCCAGTCTTAATGATGGTAACTCTAAATTATTCCTTAGTCTGGTGTAATGATTGTGAGTTAATGAGCGAGATGAGAATTGTTCAATATTTGTTTTTACAAAAATGATATTCTGCAAAATGTACACACTTGGTAAAGTGAGAATTTTGTATTCAGGAAAAAAGGTCTTACAACTAACTCTACTTTTTATGCCAGCTAGGATACGGATTGCTTTTTTCTGTTTTTTAAAAACGTTAAGCGAAGGGGTTAAATATGAATACTCATTAGGTTAACATGGGAAACTCCAGAGCCACGGGGGCGGAGCCTGAAAAGATTTTTGAGATAAGAATATGTCTATATGTTAATCGGGAATGTTAGCTATCATCATACCAAATTTCAACCCTGTCGGTTTAGTATTTGTCGCGATTACTTGTCACAAACATCCATCCATACTTCCAAACTTTCTCACTTATAATATTATAGTAGGGTGTCGTCCATTAGCACGATAACTCGAGGAAAATTTATCCGATTTTGATTAAATTTGGTAGAAATGTGTAAACCTACCTTTATTCAAACGAGTTCGCAAATCGTCATGGGAACAGGGTTTTATGGGGGGATTTACGGGGTAAAAATAGGTTTTCCTAATTTTAGCATTCAAAACTAAAAATTTCCCAACTTCTCTCTAAACCATTTTGAAGGAATTAAAAAAAAAACAAATAATTTTGTATGAATGAATGAATGAATGAATGAATGAATTTTTGAATGAATTAATGAATGAAAAAGTGCTTTTATTTACAAATATTCGTACAAAAAAAAAATAACTTCTTAGCACTAACTACAACAACAATGGACATAAAGCCCGTCTGTTGCGGCTGGCGTACCTGGTTAGCATTAATTTGTACAATTGACTAACGTAAACTGTTCAGATTAACTGTTAAACGGTTAACGTAAACTGTTGTGTAAATCAGATTAAAAATTAAATAATAAAACAATTAATTTTTTGAAAATAGACATATTTCTCAAACGGATTTATACATAATTTTGTATATCAAAGTGTTTTTGTACAATTATTTGTTACAGAGAAAATAAAAAAAATTTAAATTCCCATATTATTCTTATGGAGAATAAGTAAACTGTTGTAATTTGCTTGTTTATGGATATATTTTTATTTTGATCAGACTTGTCAAATTTATTTATTTTATACTAAGCTATTTTAATGTTACTAAAAACACACTTTGTTACCCTCCCTGTAACAGCAAACCTAAGTACTCGTTAAACATTGGCTGTATGAGTTATTAATTAACAGCTGTGTTTTAGGAACAGACTACAAGATCGCACTACTCATCCTACACTCATATTTGTGTTAAAATATGCTCCTAGTCAGGTTGTGCAAAATTATTGCACTTTGGCTGAGATACTCTTACCTTGATATTGTCCTTCATGCTGAACCTAAATATGAGGTTGCTTGATGGTTGTGTGGCTCGGGGACGTTTGACAGGAAGACAGTGCGAGCCTCGGCACTGCTTACAACACGACTGACACTTCCTCTTGGATCTAACAAAACACAGAGACAATCAGAACATTCTCACCGTCTCAATCTACTACCATTGGCTAAGGATTTAAGTAGACATCCCAACCCATGTAAATCCATGGTGGTTTTCGGCGTCAAACCGCGTTGTCAATTATTATAAATTTTTTCCAGACATTTTGCCCTTACTGTGAGGAGGCATTCTCAGTGACTAGGCTTGGACTGAGTCTGGGAAGGGTCTAATTAGTGTAGGGGTAAGGTCATCGTGGACAATATGGTTGATGCCGAAAAAAGTGTTTGCATAAAGATCCCATTGCTTAGGTTGTAGCCAGTTATAGTTTTAATCAAGCCACCTCTGTTTACAGGGTGTCTAGTGGTCGGGAAAAACAGGAAAGTCGGGAATTAGTATTGAATTTCGAAATGGTGTTGAAAAGTCAGGAACTTTCATGATTTTTCCGCGATCGAGAACGACAATGATGTCTAAACAGCCACGGGAAATGTTCATAATTTTGCCGCCTTTGCGGAAGACGACGTTGACATTTCCAAGACCGCAGGAGAAGACAATGACGTTTCCGTGACCGAGGGAGACGACGACGATGTCTACACGGCTGCGGAAGATGTTCACGATTTTGCCGCGATCGCAGACGACGACGATGACTTTTCCGTGGCCGCTGGAATCAATGATGATGTCTACACAGCTGCAGGAAACATTCATAATTTTGATGCCATTGCGGACGATGACGATGGCGTTTCCGAGACCGCAGGAGACGACGATGACATTTCCCTGACCGAGGGAGACGACGATGATGTCTACACGGCCGTGGGAAATGTTCATAATTTTCTGTGATTGCAGACAATGACGTTTCCAAGACCGCGAGAGATGACGACAACGTTTCTGTGACCGTCGGACACGACAATGATGTTATGACTGAGGGGTCCAAGATGTCTACACGGCCGTCGAAGGTGTTCACGATTTTGCTGCGATCGCGTACGACGATGATGACGTTTCCGTTACTGCAGCAGTCAATGATGATGTCTACTTGGTCATGGAAGATTTTCATAATCCAAAAAATCTAAATTGGCTAGTTTGAATTTTTCATTGCTGCATTTTTTCTTTACTTGAAAAACACCCCATTATTTTAATAATATTTTATGACATAAAGACAGGGGTGGTGTAAAATTTAAAAATTTGGTTAAATTATAAAAATTGGTATTGGTATCAAGAATTGAGAATTGTTACATTTTGGAATCAACACATCACTAATTGTTGAAAAAACTGGTCTTGAAAATCTGGAATTAGTCTTGAAAAGTATGGAATTCGCCTTGAATTTTTAAATGGAAATAAACTAGAGACCCTGAATGTACCAACTTTTTAACCATGCCAAACTGAAAGAATAGTTTATTCTAAACATTAGTGTCTTCAATATCAAATACAACTATCAAAGTATGAAGAAATAAGGGGGGAAATAACAATTTGATAGTAGAGTTTAAAACAGATCACTTTTCCAAATTCTCATTTTATATCTGCAGTGACACTGGTACCAATTGTTCGTGTATTCTTTCATATAAACAAAAATATTGACTGGTTCCCTCACATTAAATAATTAAATAAGTTAAATAACTTATCAAGCCACAGACACTAAAACTCTATCGACAGTTTATCACCCATATGTTTAATCCTTAATGTCATAAAGAATTCTTCTGTGAGGATATTTATGCCCTAGTAAACAGATTTTAGGTTTAAAAATGCACTTATACAGGGTGAATCTTGTTAGGTGTCAACCATTGATTTGAGACAAACCATTGGTCCCACAATGAAGAAATAAAAACTTTTCCCAATAAACTTCAAGGAATAACTTTAAAATATTTTAAATATTTTTGAATAATGAACCAAAACCAGAGATTCACTAGTTAAAACCTCACAATTTTATATGCCTACTGATAGTCAAATTCAAACATATTATGTCATATTACAATAATTTTAAAACTCTGATTAATACATAAAAATCATTTTGGTGGGATCAGACTTTGACTACTATTAGTTGTTTCATAGGCCTAGCAGCTCTTAATGTGAAACATTTGTTACTCAATAGGTGTCCTATATTTTTCTTGAAAATGCATATATCTCTATTTTCATTAAAATTTTACATTCCTTATGAGCTAAAGCTTTAGTTTGATATGCAATAGTGTTTTATATCGGGAAATCATGTTTTTAGTAGATGAAACGAACACTAAAAGAGTTACAGATAAGGTTTCAATTTGAAAGTTCCTTGGAATTGCCTTACCTGCAAAATTATATGATTGTTGACATGCGATACAGTTTCAAATTCTTAAATTTTTTCTATGTAAATATTAAAAAAAAATTATTTTTGTTATGTTTGTTTTTGTGATATAATTTTTTTTAATACTTAAGAGTTAGAGTAATTAACCTTCTGGATATGTTAATAAAGCGAGGACTTCACTTTTAAATGGACCTTACCTCTGTTGCTTGGTTGGTGTTTTATTCACATCTTTATGATGAAAGTTCCTCATGTGTTTGTAATAATCTTTCTCGTCAATATAAATGCAAGAGCAAGCATCACATCGCAAACAATCCTCCATCCTGATCTTTGTTAGGCCAACTTGCTTTTTCGCTGGAACAAAATTATTTTGTTTTACTTTTAAATTTCCCAAACAGTGAAGGTCAGTCCTAAGAGGAAAGCACGGCTTGGTAAAAGCTTTGATATCATTGTAGCCAAACATTGTTTCTGCCAACATTGTGTTTTTTTTATTTTTTTGTTTTTAGTAAAAATGTATGAAAATTAAAAAAAAATTGAGCTGGAACATCGAGTTTTAAATAATTGTTAAAACTTTTTTTTAAACATTGAAAATTACTATGATTTTAACCTTATTGATGTTTGTGATTCAAAAATATTTCAGCAAATTCAAACCCCAACAATAATGGTTAAAAAGTTGTCTGAGTAAAAAGCTTGAATAGTAATTATCTTATGTAAATAAATTAGTAGATTATATAGGCCTAACACGTACAACTACAACTACAAGACAACGTCGACAGCGATCGGAATAACACTGTCGGGGACACGTGGCATTTCTCTGCGCCACCGCTCAAGGTCCAAATCACTGAATATCCCCTCCCTCTCACCAAGTGCCAAATTTATTTTCTGAATGCTTTACAAAGTTTTATTGTATTGAATTATAAACATTTTTATGTTGTACTAAATTGTAAAAACTACTGTGAAAATAATGCTTTTTATTTTTCTTGCAATTAATAATGAGACAAAAATATATCTCCAAAACATTTTTTGTTTCTAATACAATTTTAAAAGATTACATAAATTCATTAACAGGGCCGTCACGTGGTTTGTTGACGCCCTGGGCAGGATGCTGTCAGGCGCCCTCCCCCCCAAACACATAATGAGCAATGCTCGTAGCAAGTAATCGGCCACAGAACTCGTTCGCTATCGCATTCCATTAACTTGAATGTGAGCTTGAATTAATGTAAACACGCCTTTTCTTTTCACTATTGATTAATTTTGAAAAGCCACGTTCTCTAGAACAACTTGTGATTGCAAACTTAGCCATACAGTTTTAACACTGTCATAATATGAAACTGTTTCATACAGTCCGCGCCAATGAAGTCTCTCAGACAGTGTTTACTTTACAAGTAGGCCTACCACTCAGAGTCGATCCCACCGTCTCTGGTAAAAAACATTATATCTATTACACGTCTTTTTTTTTTTTTTTTTTTTTTGTGGGGGCTGGGGTAATGGCATACCCCTAGCTACTTCGGCCTGGAGACCTTTTGTAGCACCATTACACGTCTTACTCATAGCATGCATGCATTTTCTGCATCAATCTCGTATAGTCTAACACATTTTCTAAAGACTAGCTCCTTAAAACTATAGGCCTCTGACAAGCCTGAAATATAAACATAGCCTGAAATAAGCACATAGATACCAGAACTAACTTTGTAAAAAGCCTGGCTGTAAAGAGTGCCACGGTACCCCCTTGTATACCTATGATTCACATTCAATTATAGCATTATTCAGGGCCGATTTACCGAATTGGCACGGTAGACACGTGCCTAGGGCGCGAAACAATTGGCTTTTTTGGAGTGGCGCGAAAAAAAAAGAAAAATTAAAAGATTTTGGTGGTTGTATTTGCATGCGATTGTGGTAAAATGATAACTGGGGCAGTAAGTAGCTGTCCTGGAGCAGCTCTAGATTGTCTGCTTGACAAGCTAACCATCAACATTTTTATCAAGGTGGTAGCTAGAAAAACAGCCCTAAGCCTAAGATGCGAAAACTTATGGATAACCACAGGAAACAATAAAGGGCACTCCAAAATTGTTCAGGTGGTACACAATGATGAGTTGGACCTGCCTTCAGATCACATGTCCAAAAAATACTCCTTTGGAAAGCCTTTCAAAGAATAAAAATAAGAAGAATAAGAATATTTTATTTCCATTGATCTGTTTGTACAGAAATAGGACAAGTCAATTTGTTATACAATGTTATACAAATGTAACATATAGCAAATAAAAATAAAATACCCCCGCCGCAGCAAACCTGCAGACTAAGCAAATTTCCATTTGACTGATTGGATTTACACTAAAATGTCTACTTAAAAATATAACATTTATTCTTGATTTAAATAGAACTAGTTTAACAAGTACCTACTTAGGTTTGCTGCATCAGGAAGGGTAAAACTGTTTTTTTTTGTTTTTTTTTTGTAAAATGTGAATAGTAAGAAATGAAAACATTTTCCAAATTTGATCAAAATATGTTCACAAACAAGCAAACTACAACAGTTTACTTATTCTCCATAAGAATAACATGGGAATTTTAAATTTACAATTTTTTTGAATTTTCTCTGTAACCATTAGGCGCATAATAATGCTTCAATATACTAAATTATTTGTTTTTTTTTTAAGCTCTACAAAATGGTTTGGAAAGAAATTGCTAAATTTTATGTTTTTTGGGTCAAAAATGGGAAAAACCTATTTTTACCCCATAAAACCCCCCGTAAACCCCCGTTCCCATGGTCCGATTACACTGGATCGCGAACTCGTTCGAATAAACGTACGTTTACACGTTTGTATATATATATATATATATATATGAATTTGAACGGATGGTGTTTTTGGCCTCTAGGGACCTCAAAACGAAAAAAAAATCGGTCCCGCATCCAGGTCTTACCATGAGTACTACGGTAATAGCTTATTCCCTATATGGGAAATTCGCTAAAAGGGATTTTCTACCAGCCAGGTGTACAATACAGATTTAAACCTGTTTAAACTAACCTCTCTTGCATTCTCAGGCAGCTTATTAAAAAAGTAAATGCAATTTAGTTTAAAAGAAGTTTTAGTTTTGGTAAGCCTATGTGGTACTATATCCAAATTCCCTCTCCCCCTGGTATTATGAATATGAATATTTTGCCTAGTACGAAACATATTTAAGTTTGTTTTAGCATAAACCAGAACTTGAAAGATGTACAGATTGAATACTGTAGGAATTTTGAACTCTACAAAAAGTTGCTTACAGTGTGTTACGTGATCGACTCCTGCCATATTACGAATAGCTTTTTTTTTGAAGCAATAGGATGTCATTAACATGTGGTGAGTGACCCCATGCAGACAATCCATATATTACATGTGCCTGAAAGAGGCCAAAGTATGCTAGTCTCAAATAATCAGGACTAACAAAACTTTTGAGTTTCCAAAGCAGGCAAGTCACTCTTGAAATTTTGCTACAAACAGATTTGATGTGATCAGACGAGTTTAATTTTGAGTCAATATGTATTCCTAAAAGCTTGACCGATTCCATATTGACTTCTCTTTTTAAACTCAATATGTTATATATTGTGTTTTTTCCAAATTACAAGATAGTTTATTTGTCGAGAACCAATCATAAGCCATTAATTGTCTCTGCTTGTCGGGACATTTCTTGTAAATAAATCAAGTTTTCATGATTGGAAAGTAATGTTTTGAAACCTTAAGTGATTGAGCAAAATAACCTTCCTGCATGCAGTTATTTAAGATAAAAGCAAGTGGTTTACTTATAAATTCAATTGTTTGTTTGATTATATGATTTGACTAGCTGTACCCGCGGGCTTTGCCCCGTTCAACTTCACAAGTGAGCTCGTTCGCATGGCTCAATCACGTCCTGGTTGAAGTTCGTTTGCTACGCTCACTCACCTTTAGGTTGGAGCTCGTTCGCTCCGCTCACTTGCCTTCAGGTTAGCTCGTTCGCTAAGCTAACTCGCTTCCAGGTTAAAGTTCGTTCGCTACGCTTACTCACCTTTTGGTTGCAAATTGGCTGTAGTCATAAATAAAAAAAATAATAGTGCTGCACCCTGTTGTAACTTGTAACCGTCCTTGTAGCCCAGTCAATAAAGGGATTGTGTCGGAAGTAATTAGTGAAAGGCTGATTTTTTGCCCATCGACTATTACCTTTTAGACAAGTGTTCAGCCAAAAGTCCCCACCCCCACCCCTCTTGCTTCCCCCCCTGTGCCCCCCTAAACATATAAAGTGTAAGGGTTTCGTAAATCATGTTTTTCTCGATTGTTAAACGACATATTGAAATGCAATTAGTTTTATTGTCTTTGTTATAAAATTTCCTACAATCCTGTTTAGTTGACTTTCGTTGTAGCTGTTACCGCTTGTTAGTTATTTGTATAAAAATGTAAAGATTTATATTTTTTTTAACATATAATTTTAGTTTTGTCGCCTTAACTTTTTTTGCTGACGTTTTATGAAAATATGTTTTATACAAAAGTTGTAGCTGCTTTCATTAGCTTTACAATGATGTATAATAGTACTTACTTTAATAAAAGCCCTGCGAGATTTATACGATGTAATGCAGTAAGCATACTCAATCAGTGAGCTAAGTGGGGCTGGCGCGGCGTTGCAATACTATCATTGTTGTAATATGGAGTTTTTTTTTTTTTTTTTTTTTTACTTAAGGTACACTATTGCATTATCTCCATATCCCACCGCAGCAAACCTGCGACTACGCAAATTTTCATTTACCTGGCTCGATATTTACTAAAACATTCCCTTAAAATCGTCATAATTATTTCTTGATCAGATTATTTTAATGAACACTTAGGTTTGCTGCTACAGCCAAGGTATTGAAGAGTGTTCATCTATTGAAATGTTGATAGCGTTTTATGAAATAAATAAATTTCATTAAAATATATCTATGAACAAGCAAACTACAACAGTTTTTTAAAGAATAAAATAGGAATTTGAAATTTAAATTTTTATGAATTTTCTCCATAACCGTTAGGCGTACAACGTTGCTCCAATATACAAAATTATTTATTTTTTTAAGCTCTACAAAATGGTTTGGAAAGAAATTGTAATATTTTGGGGTTTTAGGGGGGAAATGGGAATAACCAACTTTTACCCCATAAAAACTCCCATAAACCCCTATCCCCATAGTCCGATCATGCTGGTTCGCAAACTCGTTCGAATAAACGTAAATTGATACGTTTGTATCCAATTTCATCAATATCGGATCATTTTTGCTTGAGTTATCACGCTTACAGACTCATATATATATATATATATATGATTTTAAATTTTACTTTTTATTTATGAATTTGAACGGCGGAGGGTGTTTTCGTCCT